GAAAATACAATGTAGATTGATATTATAAAGCCTTTTAATAGTAGTTGGTTTTGGTTTCAGATCTATCTTAATGTTTTATAGCGTACTTGATATTTTGTCAACTTCATAACGAAAACGTTTTTGCTTGCTATGATATAACTTCTGACACTCCTTTTGTATCTAGAAAGTGACTCAGCTATAACCCTACATATCGTTATAATAATGGAAGCATAAAAAGGTAACTCTGTAAATAGTATCAACATTTTTTGTCATTTAAGTAAGTAGAGGTAGCCCCGTATTTTTTTTTAACTTGTCAACTTGGTAACGGGATTTTTTATCAAGATAACAATGGAACATCACGTCCATATATATATCATTACAATCAATGTTCTGTCTTTTATAGAAAAAAGCACAGTGTTTGTGATGCCAAAGTATCAGTGGTATTAAAAAATGCCCCAAAGTGTGAATACGTCTACTACATAACGGTCAACTACATAACAGGTGACCTAATTTTGCTATGTAGAGGACATTTTTGTTATGTAGTTGACAATATCGTTATGTAAGTGACAAAAAGCATAAGTCAAAATCGTACGTTGAACACTGTAATAACTGATTCAGAAGTAATAAGAAAGAAAGTAAATTGGTCTTATGATATTTAAGGAAAAGGTCATCATTTATTACTACCAAACATTGAGATATCAACATAATTGCTATCGTTATGTAGTTGACAAATTCCGTAATTTCTGTTATCTCATTTAGCATTTAAAATGATCTTCCCACTTTCATTAAGACTGCATATTTTAGATTTTGTTCATATAAATTACTCAGAGTTCATTAAATTTTTTTGAATTGAATTTAACTGATGAAAATATTTCCTCAATTTCTATTTAGAATATGGACGAATTTTGAAAATGACCCAAAAAGTCAATCTGTACATGATAGAACATCATTATGCCATTTGTGGTAAAAAAGTGCATTTAAATTTATAAAATTGGGGCCAATGATACCACAGGGACATTCAAACTCATAAATCGAAAATAAACTGACAACGACATGGCTAAAAAAGAAAAAGACAAACAGACAAACAATAGTACACAAAACACAACAGAGAAAAATAAAGACTTAGCAACACCAACCCCACCAAAAACTGGGGGTGATCTCAGGTGATCCGGAAGGGTAAGCAGATCCTGCTCCACATATGGCACCCGTCGTGTTGCTCATGTTAGTGCAAACCCGGTAATAAGTCTAATTAGGTAAGTCACATTCGTGAAAAGGGAACGGGATTGTAGTTACGACATAAGGAACATATCAGCTATCATCATATTCCATAACGGTCAACCAACTCGTGATGGCGTCCGTAAAATCTACGAAGGATGATTTCAAATTCACCATATTGAATTCTTGGTTTAAAAGCTTCCTTTTGAGCAGCAACCCTCTATCAAGGAAATCATGATAGGAAATACAAGCCTGGGAATATCGTTTCAATTGGGAGATATATACTCCGTATGCAGGCGCTGCTGGAATGTTGCTACATAGAAATGGAAAGTTCACAATTGGGAAGCTGAAATCATCTCTTTTGTCGTAAAGTTTTGTTTTCAACCGACCCTCATTGTCAATTTCTAGATGTAAGTCAAGATATGAGACAGAATTAACTGTATCTGTTGTATCATTTATCTCTTGTTCGATGGGATAGATGCGTTCAACAAAGTCACCAAATTTTGAATTTTTCAGTGAGAGAACATCATCTATATAGCGGAAAGTAAAGTTAAAGGATACTGCTAACTTATTTTCTTTCTTCTTAAGAATTTTCTGTATGAATTCAGCCTCATAAGATAAAGGAACAAGTCGGCAAGAAGAGGGGCACAGTTGGTTCCCATGGGAATGCCGATAGCTTGTTGAACAACGTCCTCCAAACGTAACAAATATGTTGTCAATCAAGAAATCAAGCATCTTGATAATGTCAGTTTCGGAGAATTTTTTGTTTTAATCAGAGTGATTTTTTAACAAAGTAGGATTTATCCCTCCCTAAGACAAGATACTTGTATCTACTTTGGCCATTCTTTTTTATGAAACAAAGCAATACCATCTCTTTCAATTTGTCCTTTAGTTTGGAATGAGGAATGCTTGTGTAAAGTGTAGAAAAGTCAAATGTTTTAATACTATTGCAAGATGAAAGAGTCTTAGATTGTATATAGTCTAAAAGATCTTTGGAATTTTTTAGTATCCACATTTGATTCACGCCACCTCTAGAATAGGCAATTTCACAATAACTTTGAAGCCCGGCTTTGATTGCTGATAAAATTGATGTTAATGATTTAGAAAGAGGTTTCGTGGAGCACTTGGAAGACCTAGCAATATACCATTGTTTGTAGGGACACTTATGTAGTTTAGGTATCCAATATAGTGGTGGAAGATCCAGTTCTTCATCTTTGGTTGAAATTCCAAAGGAACATAGAACAGACCTATGATTATCCTGGATTTCCTCTTCAGTAAGTGTCGTGGGGGTATATGTTGAGTTTCCAAGTGAACCGTCAATACTTAATTCATTTATCAAGCAGTTTATGTAATGTGATTTACACACAAAAACAAATTATTTATTAAATGATTAAGAGTCAATAACATTTAATTAATTTCAATGTGTACATAGATTTCTACATATGCTTTGCATATAAAAATTACAAGTAAAATTTAACAAAATGAAAGTACATTTTTGAATGCATGTAATTACATACATGTATTACATATATATTACATGTATGCATACATTCTGTTTTAACTGGATAAATGTCATATGTAAGTTGTTATTTTGTGTCACATTCAATGTTTATTACATGTTTTTATAATCATCCGGATTGCACTGGACCGATTTCTTACATCACCGTATTTATTGTACTACGTGACTGCCTTTAGGTAGCACGGTAGTATTTGCATTCCAGAATTTAGGTTGCTCTTTTGTGTACCCTACTTAGGTCAATGTATCTGAACAGTGTGATTGGACTAAAAATACAGTATCAACTGAACATACTTTCCCAAACTGAGGGATGAATCAGGTGTAGAAAAATATGAAATAATTTTACAAACAGGTGAAAATGAATTTTTGAGAATTTTTTTAAATTTTGTATTCACTGCATGATAAAAGACCTAAAAGCACTAGTGGCCTTAGGTTTTTAAAAATAGCAAAAAAAGTAAACGGTCATGATACATATTCAAATTTATTTCTGATTAGTATAATGAAAGTACTTCAGTTAACTGTGTATGTAGAATTTTTCGCAGTGCTAGAAAGTGGTGAAAATCCTAAAAAGGCTATCATTATCCCTTATGGGCCAGGAAATACTACCGTGCCACCTTAACTGGGATATATATGTTTACACAAAATCAATAAAGGTATTTGTTTTACCTATGCAATTTGTAAGTTTATCAATATAAAGTTGATTAAGGGCAACTAGAATAAAAACAGCCCTTAAATTTCACCCCTGGGAGTGAAAATTGCTGATTCAGCAAATTTTGCCTGATCTGTGGGTAATAATGTTAATATTTACCTAGAAAGTAAAATTTCTTTATTTTTAAGTAACTTGCAATACATTTTTAATTATAAAGTTTAGTTTTAACTTTTCGCAGTGTCTGACACTTGTGCAACAACTGGAATTTGAGACGCGACATATTTTAGTCGCCTGTACCTCCTATAATTTTCACCGTAATAAATAAAGTGCATAATGTTTTATTTTTTTCCACACAAGTACAGCTATACTAGTTTTCTTCAGGTTTAATTTGTAGTTCTGTGGTAACATGACACCAGTAAAGAGCTTTTTTGGAACTAGTAAGTGGTTAAGGGATCCTTACTTATTCATTTAGCCCTCATATTTAGCTGAAATAGAGATAGCATTAGGGGTTTCTTTACATTGACAAGACAATTTTTTGGACAAAGAATGTGATTATGATTGTATATCAGCAAGATTAAATAGTTTATTCATTTTCCATGCAAATGTCATTAATTTATTTGATTTTCTGACCCTGAAAAGCACAATAAAGCTAAATTGATTATGTAAGGGGACATAATTTAACTGAATGCATACATGAGAAATAGACAATGAGTCAACTTAAAGATATATTCTAGTACATGTATTGTCAAAAAGATCTTTGAATAATAGTAAACTGCCATCTAAAGAGTCTTGTTATATTGCCTTCATAATCTGGAAATGCTTAAAGGAATGTAAGGCATGCTGTAAATGTGGAATGGACTTTACTATCAGTTTTCATGATTTGGTGCTTAAACTGTTTCTTTCAGTCAGATTAACTATAAATAGAGTTGGCAATCCAATAATTCCTCCTGAATCACCATGGTTTACTTCTGTGTTGATTTGAAACAACATATATTTGGGTTTTGTTCACTCCTTAAGTAAAAATGTTCAGATGAAAAAAAGTGAAAATCTGCCAGCTGGGGTAGGGGTATACTTTTTATTTTTTTTTTTGGTAAGAAATAAGTGAAGACTAGTATTCTTTATTGTAATATGTTTCCTAGTAAGAAGTCTATGCATCATAGGTGTCATGACAGATTTCAAGTTTGTAATGTCTTGGTTAAGGTAGCACGGTAGTATTTGCATTCCAGAATTTAGGTTGCTCTTTTGTGTACCCTACTTAGGTCAATGTATCTGAACAGTGTGATTGGACTAAAAATACAGTATCAACTGAACATACTTTCCCAAACTGAGGGATGAATCAGGTGTAGAAAAATATGAAATAATTTTACAAACAGGTGAAAATGAATTTTTGAGATTTTTTTTAAATTTTGTATTCACTGCATGATAAAAGACCTAAAAGCACTAGTGGCCTTAGGTTTTTAAAAATAGCAAAAAAAGTAAACGGTCATGATACATATTCAAATTTATTTCTGATTAGTATAATGAAAGTACTTCAGTTAACTGTGTATGTAGAATTTTTCGCAGTGCTAGAAAGTGGTGAAAATCCTAAAAAGGCTATCATTATCCCTTATGGGCCAGGAAATACTACCGTGCCACCTTTATTTCTGTAACACCGTCTGCTCCAATATTTTAACACAAGCTACATGGACGACATTTAATTTTCTGAGGAAATCGAGACTTATCACTGTCAAGTACGTTTGATTTATTCATAAACTGTGATAATTTAATTGTTTAAATCAGGTAATTTGGATAAGTGATTTATTAAATGCATACGAACTGTAAGTTATTTTTATCCGAGATTTGAACTGTAAATTCTACATTTGTTTTCATTTGATTGATTTACATAATATTTGCATTTAAACTTCATATGTTCGTTTCATACACATTGTAAGTATTGCTTTTTGTTTTATTGCAGTTTACCAATACACTGACTAATGTAACCATTCTGGTGGAATATTGAAATAACAATCTTCAAAACAAGTTTTTTGGTACTTATAATCACCGAGATTGCGATTCAGTCACTTGGTTATACCTACTGGTCCGCCCAGCACAGTTGTCACCCCCAGTTTTTTTTGGGTTCGTGTTGCTTAGTCTTTAGTTTTCTATGTTGTGTCATCTGTACTATTATTTGTCTGCTTGTCTTTTTATTTTTGGCCATGGCGTTGTCAGTTTGTTTTCAATCTATGAGTTTGACTGTCCCTCTGGTATCTTTCGTCCCTCCTTTGTCAGTCACAATTTCATTTACTTTAGCTGTTTAGAGGGGTATACAGCCTTTGTTGAAATTTTTTGATTTTACTTAACTATTTTATTTTATAAACATGATAAACAAGATAAATATTAACAGAAAATGTTAATATTCAAATTTGCAATTTGAATTTTCATGTGATTTAATCTGATTTCAATTAATTATTCAATATAATTACCTGTATCTTGGCTGTCACCTGGGAGTTTGGTATGATTTTATTTACTGGAAGAGCATTAGTTCCTTTATTCTGTTGCTAGCTGAACATGTTCATGTGTACTGTAGTTATCAAGTAAATCATTTGTGGCATATATGTTTCATACATTCCCGATTTTCTTCATTTATTTGTATAAAATGATCATCCTGCATAGACTCGGATTCACCAGATTCACATGTTAATTAAACAGCGCCAACATCATCGTTTAGATTATCACGTTGAGAACTTTCTATCTGGGTAAAATATAATTCTTCAACAATCCGTAGCTCCTCAATAAACTCTCATCCTGTTTATCTGTTAGTTCCGATGGTATACTTAAGCAAAATCAAACAAAACTAGCTGGAGACTCTTTCACTTTGTCAACTTTCGTTTTCGGTAAGGGAAGTAACTTATATAATGTAAACAGGCTAAAATACGAAATCGGGTTAAAATGAATATTGCGGACTTCGATATATAAGGACAATTTCGAAATACGCATACAAGGTAAGCTGTACATGTGATATAATTAGTGAAATAATATTGTTTTTAAGCAGCGAACAAATATTTTGCAGGTGTTCGTCGAAGTCAACTTTGCAACGTCATAGTCAAAATTACGTTTTTTGATTTTTGGAATTTTATGCGACTGTCATACAAGTGAGAGGTTTAGCCTAATAAAACCAGGTTCAATCCACCATTTTCTACATAAGAAAATGCCTGTACCAAGTCAGGAATATGGCAGTTGTTGTCCATTCGTTTGATGTGTTTGTGCTTTTGATTTTGCCATTTGATTAGGGACTTTCCGTTTTGAATTTTCCTCGGAGTTCAGTATTTTTGTGATTTAACTTTTTACATCAACTGGGATCTTTTTGTCAGACGTCGTCACATATTTCAAACAAATTGTTTTCCAAAATCTAAATACGATTTTGCAATTTACATGTACATAGTGATACAGAACGAAGAATGTTATCACGAAACAAGTTATGTAGGAATAATTAGGTAACACGCTAACAGTTTATAGATATTTAAAATCAAACAGTCGAGAGTGACAAAATATCGTTTTGCACGAGTTTTGGTGGTCGAATATTTTTCTCTAATGATTTATAAAAGATATGTTGAAAAACGTAATATTCCTTTTCCAGAGATCTGTCAAAATATCTGAAAAAGATGTATTCTTTCTATGTGAAGTCATTAAAAATGGTCGCCTTTTTGCGTAACGTCAAAACAGGAAATTCAAAGGAAAGTAAGAGCGTTTGACGTTTTATTTTAATTAATTGAATTTTGACCAATGAAGAACTGTGATCAAACGAACCACACGACGAAGATCAGGATTTTTTCGCAACTAAGACCACAAATCAGTAAAAGTTGAACCAATTCTTCGATCTGCCCGAGTTATGAGCTTATCTTGCAACCACAAAACACACAGTATTATATATATTAATTTCAAATTGTGTTTTTCAATGTTGCTTGACATTAGCATAGTTTACATTAAAGGCTTCCAGTGTGATGTGGTCATATACTTGATCCTAGTTATGCAAGTTATCTTCTCTGCATCTTTGTCAAACAAAGCTGCGAGTACAATGTTAAAATGGTAATAGGAGATAATTGTAAAAATTATATTGTACAAAATATGTAGAATATGCAATATTAAAATGTTATTTAAATACGCTCTGTCTAAATAAATACAAATAGTAAAAATGGTTCGTACCGATTTTTACCTGCGTCATTAAAGGCAGAAGCAGGTATAGTTACCGCTCAACTCCGTCCGTTCGTCCGTCTTTCCGTACGGCCTTCCGTTATTCTGTCCGTCCGAACGAACGAAAACTTTCGTCAAAGTTTTCTTGGAATAATTTAATATTTAATGTGCAGCTTATAATGTTGAGTTGTAGCGAGTTAGCAATTTTAACATCATGCTGCGGTGTAGCCGCTTCATGTTTGCCGATAGTTTTTTACACCACTCATTGTTTAAGGAAAACTTTCGTCAGCATTTTCTTGACTTTCATGAAAGGGAAAGATTTAATATTTGGTCTGCAGCCTGATCATGTCGAATTGAAGTGAGTAAGCAATTTTTACATCTGCTGTGTAGCCACTTCCTGTTTGCCGATAGTTTGAAATTTTACAACACTCATTGTACAAGGAAAATTTTCGTCAAACTTATTTTGGCCTCTATTGAAGTTCATGATTTCAATATTTGGTTTGGGAATGATCAGTTATGCTCCGGTATACATGTTACCTCAATCAATTACTTGGAACGACGCAGGTCAAGGTTCAGTATTGGTCTTGTTAGCTTTTAAAGTGAATTGCTTTTCTAGTAAAAACGTTGGACTATCATTTAAATATTTAATAGCCTGATGACCTGGGACTTAAATTGGTCCTTGGAAGTAAAGGAATTATTTTAGTCTTAACACTTCGGAATTTTGAAGAATTAGAAGAATACATGAGTGTGTGCGTATAAATAAATGGATAATTTTTATGGTATGTATCAAATTTATTGAAAACTTGTATATAATTGTATTCCTAGAGCATGTGGAGGTACCTTTTAGTTCGTGTTCAAATGAATGTTCAGCCTATTCAGATTTTCCTCAGGGTTGAATTGGATATACAAATGTTGCCACCTTAATTCTCCAAAATCGATTCTGAAGGGATACCCTTTCTGTCTGTATAGGACGTACTAATACGCAAACATGCCAGTTGGAATACAAATATTAAATCCGATGCTTCGTTAACCCCGATCTCTGTCTGTGGAAAACCGTGGTAAATATTTTTGAAGGAACCGTAGATGGCATGTTGTAAGGAATCATTCTGCAACTATCTGTCATACTTTCTTTCTCCAGTTGCAGTCTTATCAATACTATGCGTCTGTGATTTGCCGTAAAAATTAGATTTAAACTACATGCTAGATATAAGATGGAGCTTGTTTTGTATCAGGTTGATTTTTTACTTGTATTCAAGACGGTTCTTGTTAGTTTTGTTAGTAACATGAAGAGTACTGGGTTTTCACTTTTTACATTTCTCTCAAAAGAGGGACGAAAAAAGAGGATCAATTTAGATAAATATTTATATTCTTTTCAGGAAACCACCGACAAACATGTAAGAACGAAATAGTTTTCTATTTAACAACAGAAATATTATCAAAATATGGCATCCCTTTCCGAGGAAGAAGAGAATTATGTCCGATTAGCTTTGTTATTGAAAGGAGTGTCACCAAGAGCGGTCCGTTCTTTCTTTGACGTACAATTTCCACCGCCCTTTTTGCCAGCGACGTTGAAAACAAATCACAAAACTCTTCGTGACTTGTATTTAAAGAGAATCTTGAACCAGGCTCAGACGAATCTGTTGAATCCCGGACATGGTATGCTTTTTTAGATAAAGATAATCGCATATTTTAATTTTGTTTAGATCGTTTAAAAAAGTAGGTAATGATTTTGTATCGAATATCTTAGAACTTGGAATGAAATAGTAGTGCTAGGGCCAAAAAAAAAAACAAAAAAACTAAAAGACAAACAACTGTCAACAAAAAGCCACAAACATATATTTAATAGAGCAACACGAAACCATTAAAAATCTGGAGTTATTCCAGGTGCTCCAGCATGGTAATTCTGTAGGCAAATCTGTCGATGAATGATTCTATTCCATTTTTTAGGAGATTTCAACTATTGTTAATTACGAATTTTTATGTTCATTTTTTACGAAGCATAGTGAGAGGACCAAATAATGCGATTTCTTGAACTCTTGGAGAGTAAAATCACATATGTGTACATGGTGTAGGTATAAGTTCTCGTTTCGGCTAAAGGTTCAAGGTAATAGTTGGTTGAGTATATAGTTAATGGTTTTCACTAGTCATTTTTGGGACCCTTTAATATAGCTTGCTGTTCGGTGTGAGCCAAGGCTCCGTGTTGAAGGCCGTACTTTGCCCCCTATAATGGTTTACTTTTTACAAATTGTGAAATGGATTGAGAAAGTTGTCTCATTGGCACTCATACCACATCTTCTTATATCTAATAACGTCAAAAAGATGCCTTTTAAAAGGAAAAAAAGTATTCTGATGACGGCTATAATAAAATGTGCCTTTTTGTTGCAAAAATGAAGCTCAAGATAAAGAAATAACACTAGATGCTATAGGGACAAGATATGAATAAATGAAAAGCAATAATTGGCAAGAGCTTCCTTTTAATCAGTTAGCCTCCTACGACAGGGAACACAAGCAATGGAATATCTCGTCACCTGGGTAATATACACAATGGTGCCGCTTAATGTAGCGGATATGTGTGGATAATTGTACTTGATAATAGAATCACTCGACTCATAATGTTTTCAGAGTTAAAACAGGATAAATACTTCATGTTTCAAATCTTATATTCATTTTTGTAAATCAGTATACAAAAATAAAAAATCAATTGGAAGGTTACTTATCCCCTTTTTTTTATTATTCAAAATCAGATGCTATGCTGATTTGGCGCTCCCGATTAATTTGTGAATGTTCTTGTCATCAAGAGTTAGTTGACCGTATGGAATAATTGTTTCACAGATGATGACGGATATATTCCAGTTGTCGTTATCACAATCCCGTCCTCTTATTCCCGAAAGTGACATAACGAATAAAACTGATCACAGGGTTTGTTTTCCACCTTACTGATAAGAAAAATAAGTGTTTTATTCCAAATATTTTATTTGGAACAAAATATATCCACTGCGTTACATTGTCAGATGCGTCATACTAGCCAACTTGGCTGTATTATTTATGCAGATTGATTATTACTTCACATAAATTAAAAGACCGCAATTGGAAAATTGCAATCATTATATTTTCTGTCGTCAAGTTTATTTATCAACCGACCCTCATTGTCAATTTCTAGATGTAAGTCAAAATATAAAGAAGATTTAACTTTATCTGTGGTATCCTTTATTGCAAGTTCATTCAAACACATATAGGCAAAGCTGTCACCAAAATTTCAATCATTCAATGACTTGACGTCATCTATAAAGCGATCGTTATACCAGTCGACTTAGAACAAACTGTTTACTAGTAATACTTTTTTTCATTGATGACGTTTCACACTTTTATACTACAGGCGTTCCTGATTCCAAATCTTTTGATGTCACCTTAATGATTTGTTTGATCAGAAATTTGACATCTATTATTCCTCCAATCAATGGATTTGACAGTCTACCGCTGTCTATAGAAACAACTCCAGGTCCTGATCTTGCAAGAATAAAGTGGTATAGAAATATACTAGCTCATCATGATAGTAAAACAATAGACACTGCTTATTTCAATACAGCATGGAGAGAGATATCAGACGTAAGTTTGTTAATAATAAATACATACATTACATATATTTTCTTATTCAATTATGCCTGGCAATTGGTCAATTCACGGCAAAATTAGGTTCTCACTTTTTTATATTCTAAACGGATGATTATTTTTATTTTGTCACCTTCTAGGAAAGATACGCGTACCATTTCAAACTTCGATTCCTATCTATCTAACAGTTCTCAAGTAACCAAGACTTTTTTTAACTAACTTGATATTATATATTTAAGATGTGGAATCACGAAAGACTGATAGACTGTATATATATTTTCTCTGTCGCAAAATAAAATGCATGCCAGTATTAATATTGCCATATTCCTGACTTGGTACAGGACATTTTAAAAAAAAATGGTGGGTTGAACCTGGTATCATGGCATGCCAAACCTCCCGCTTCATGACAATGTTAAAAAATATAAAATTGACCGATTAGAAATTAACACTTGATAAAATTTGGTATCGTTTCTGAATATACCTGCATTAGGCCTAGGGAAAGTCAAACCAAATAAAGGAATGTATCTCCTTCATGCAAAGCTCTGATTGCTTTCCGAATTGGTTTCCTTTTTGGTTATTTTTTGGTCGTATTACCTTTTTAGCGTTTGTATTAAAATTTGGACTTTAAAATATTTTCGCCTCGAGAGGTGCAGTGAAATTTATGGTAAAATGCGCATCAGGTGCAGTAACATTTGTACAAAGAATGCTATTATAACCTTCCGTTTGATAAACTTATTAAGGTCGGATTATACCCGGATTAAGTATTCACAAACAGACTAAATGTACATGACTTTTTTGAATAACTTAGGATTTTGTACCCAAGGTATAGATAATCTTTGCAGTATTTGGTAAAACCTTTCGGAATTTTTGGTACTCAATACCCTTCAACTTTTTATTTTATTTTTTTTAATTTCCTTGATTGGAGAGTCACTGATGGGTCTATTGTAAAAGTAACTTGTATCTGGCAAACACACTTTTAAGCCTGGTAACTATGATGAGTTTATAAGAAGGTATACCAGACTTTTAGCTAAATCACTCTTTTTACTTTAGTAAAGCTATAAACAGTTTTTTTTTCAATTGTTCGAAAACTCTAGTTTGTTTTCCCATAGGCATATTTGGTCTTAGCTGTATTATAAAATTGAAAATGGAAATGGGGAATATGGCAAAGAGACAAAAAACAGACCATAGAGCAGAATTCCAACATTCCTTATCAGCCGGGACAAAAACAAATTCCTCGGCGAGTTCTTTTAGCTTATGTTTAATACGAGAAATAGGGCTATTATGGTTGTTGTTATTTACGTAGTTTTGTCATTTCAGCGATATTTTTCAACGCAGCGAGAAAATCCCGCACCCGGAGGCGGGCCTCAGCTGGCCCTTAGATATAAATGTGTATCGGTTCAGTGAAAATGGAAGTCATACTAAACTCCAAAAAAAATAAATGAACTAAAATTAAGCAAAAAGACAATGATACATAAATTAACAAAGGACTACTAGCAGTTACTGACATCCCAATTCCAGACCTCAGTTAAACTGATTGAAAGATTATGTTTTCATGATATGAAAATCAAGCACAACCCCTCCCGTTAGGGGTTTAGTATCCTACCATCATAAAATATAAGAGAATAAAATTGAGAATGGAAATGGGGAATATGTCAAAGAGACAACAACCCGACCAAAGAGCAGACAACAGCCGAGGGCCACCAATGGGTCTTCAATGCAGCGAGAAAATCCCACACCCGGAGGTAGTCCTCAGCGGGCCCCTAAATAAAATTGTGTGCTAGTTCCGTGAAAATGGACGTCACACTAAACTCCAAAACATATAAATAAACTTAAATTAAAAAAAATACAAGACTAGCAAAGGCCAAAGGCTCCTGACTTGGGACAGGCGCAAAAATGCGGCGGGGTTAAACATGTTTTGTGAGATCTCAACCCTCCTCCTATACCTCTAGTCAATGTAGAAAAAAGAAACACATAGCAATACGCACAGTAAAACTCAGTTTAATAGAAGTCCGAGTCCGATGTCAGAATAGGTAACAAAAGAAAATAAGCAAAATGACAATGATACATAAATGAACAAAGGACTACTAGCAGTAACTGACATACCAGCTCCAAACCTCAATTAAACTGATTGAAAGATTATGTCTTCATCATATGAAAATCAAGTACAATCCCTCCCGTTGAGGGTTTAGTATCATACCATCATAAAACATATGAGAAGAACATAACCCGTATCATGCCAACAACTGGTTTTAAAATAAATGTGTTTATTTCCGATGAAAAGACCATATGAGTGAATCAATATTAATACCAAAATATGCAATCCTTAATGACCTGACAACAGTATCTTAACTATATCCTTTCCGAATAAGTCTGTTTAAAGGTTTGGTTAGCTTTTGAGATGAATGCCGACATTTTTGTGCTTTGTAAAGAATATTACCATAAAATATTGGATGTGAAATACCTGAACGTATAAGACGTTTGCACGTTGATTGATATTTACGAATGATGTCCTTGTACTGATGATAAAATTTAGTAAATGTTTTGACTAGTTTGTGATATCGAAAACCCTGTTGTCATAATTTTTCAATAATACAGAAATTTCTTTCGATAAAAACAAATACGTTGTTACATACACGAGCGAATCGAACAAGTTGAGATATATAAACACCATAAGATGGTGACAAGGGAACGTCACCATCTAAAAATGGATAATTAACAATAGGAAATGAAAAATCATCTCTTTTATCATAGATTTTGGTATTAAGCTTCCGTTAGAGTTAAATATCAAGATCCAGGAAAGGGCAGTGTTCATTGTTAGTATTAGCTTTATGTAAAGTCATTTCGGCAGTATAATTATCTTTAGTGTACATACTGAAGTCGTCATTATTGCGAGCCAATATATCATCCAAATATCTAAAAAAAAAAAAAAATTTGTATCAGAGGTTGTTTCGATGGGTCTTTGCTGATTTTAGTCATAAATTGTAACTCATAACAATACAGAAAAAGGTCCGCAATAAGTTTTGCACAGTTAGTCCCCATTAGAATTCGGATAACTTGACGATATACGGAATCTCCATAGCGAACAAAAATGTTATCTAGTAAAATGTCAAGGGTAGTTATAGTATCAAAGTAGGTCCAATTGACATAGTTCTTTTGTTTGATGTTACTAAAAAATGACCTAAAAGAGTTTGAACATATATATTCGCATTTTGATTTTTAAATGCCCATTTAATGAGGTGTGTGAATGTTTTCTTCATAAGATTATGAGGCAAAGTGGTATATAGGGTAGAAAATCAAAACTTTGAACAGATTCGAAATTATAAAATTTAAGCATGCAATTTATCAAGTACTTCCAACGAATTTTTGACATTCCAAAAGTAATTAATTCCACTATTTTCAAAGGCCTTATTTGAACAATTTAGTACCAGGGTTTTGATTGTACCAAGTATACTAGTTTGGAGGAAAAGATAGTTAAGTAGTGGAACAATGGCTTAAAGACGAAATAAATCTATATTTGTAAGGAGTTTTGTGCAGCTTTGGAAGCCAGTACATAGTTGGAACGTTCATTGTATTTGGTTCTTGTAAAGAGGTACTAAGTAGCTAAAAGTTTATGTTTGTGACAGATTTTATTTGCCGAAAATGGAGTCAGTTGGAATGTTGGTGAATTCGTGATTTCATTTTGCAGAACCTCAATTTAAAATTTACGTCAAACAATAATGATATTATTAGCAACCTTATCAGCCGGGACAAAAACAAATTCCTCGGCGAGTTCTTTTAGCTTATGTTTAATACGAGAAATAGGGCTATTATGGTTGTTGTTATTTACGTAGTTTTGTCATTTCAGCGATATTTTTTAACATTGTCATAAAGCGTGAGGTTTGGCTAGCTATTAAACCAGGTTCAACTAACCATTTTTTCTTAGAATGTCCTGTACCAAATAAAGAATATGACAGTAGTTATCAAATAGTTAATTTCTATGTATGTTTTTTTTTATTCACTTCAGTGTTCCTGTTGTTCGTTTGTTTTCCTTTTATAGTTGATGTGTTTACCTCGGTTTTAGTTTGTAACCCGGATTTGTTTTCCCTCAATCGATTTATGAACTTTGAACACCGGTATACTACTGTTGCCTTTATTTATATGTAAAATGTTTTATCCTGCAATCAGCTAACTATTGTACAAATAACAGGTCCACAAATAGATTTTTGCTTTATTTGTACTTGTACAAATAAAGTCTCCTGTTACCCCGCTTCCATGTTGAGCAAGCGGTAATGTGTATATTTCTTTTTGCGTACCAGTTCATTTATGGGTCCTCTTCGCGGTCCGCGTTTAAACTATGTCGATTTCTTTGAATAATTAGAGACAATGATTTAGATTTTAACAACTAAAGTTTCAAGTTTTGGGTGTAAATTTCAGGATAAAAACAATATATGTACATTGTCGGAAAATATAAAATTTATTTGTACTCGCTACGAAACAGGAGAAAAGCTCGGCGAGCCTCGCTTTTCGTCCTGTTTCTAAAGCTCATACAAATAAATGTTATATTTTCCGACAATGTACATATATTGTATATGTATACGTATATCAACTATGTTCATTACTGAAATAAAAAAAGGATCTAAGGATTTTTTTTCGGCCTTTTCTCGTTTTATCCATTTCGAGCAGTAAGTACGGAGTAAGTCAGTCGTGGATGATGTTACGACACTCATCCCAGATTAATAATTGTTGGGTACGATATTTAGGTCCTTTACTGTGGAAGGATTTCAACTCTCGGTAACGAACGATGTTAAGGTCTCCTGTTATAACATGAACACTAGGGCCATAAAAGTATTCGGAATTACTGCAATTTCATGACGTAGGTGTATTGTCACTGATATTTACATCTTTACACACTTCGCTATAAATAAACACATACTTCCGGGTAGATTTTTGGTAAACATAACAAATAAAAGGAAGAATTTGTTCTTTAACAGAATGACCATTAAAAATACCGGCAATATTTACAAAATCAAAACCTTTATTGACATATTTGATTTTAATTAATTTAAATGTTTTTTGTGATCTTCAGGGCGATCAATTTTGGGAAACAGTTTAGCTCAGTAAAGGACCTAAATATCGTCCCCCGTCAATTATTAATTGGAATGAGTGTCGTAATATCATCCACGACTCACTTCGTGCTTACTGTTTGAAATGGATAAAACGGGAAAAAGCTGACAAAAACTCTTTGGACTCTTTTTTTAATTCAGTAATGAAGATAGTTGATATACGTAAACAACATTTTAAAGAACATTTTACTCTTAACAACAACCATAAAAATCCTATTTCTCGTATCAAACATAAACTAAAAGAACTAGCCGAGGAATTTATTTTTGTCCCGGCTGATAAGCTGCTAATAATATCATTATAGTTTGACGTAAATTTTACATTGAGGTTCTGCAAAAGAAAATCACGAATTCACCAACATTCAATCTGACTTCATTTTCAAAAAACGATATCTGTAACAAACATAAACTATTAGCTACTTCTTTACAAGCAGAACCAAATACAATGAAAGTCCCAACTATGTACTGGCTTCCGAAGCTACACAAATCACCTTACAAATATAGATTTATTTCGTCTTCAAGTCATTGTTCCACTACTAAATTGTCTATTCTACTTACTAGTACACTTTGTACAATCAAAAACCTGATAATAAATTGTTCAAATAAGGCCTTTGAAAATAGTGGAATTAACAACTTTTGGAGTGTCAAAAACTCGTTGGAAGTACTTGATAAATTGCATGCATATATTGGTGATTTTGAATCTGTTCAAAGTTTTGATTTTTCTACCCTATATACCACTTTGCCTCATATTTTTATTATTAAGAAAAAATTCACACATCTTATTAAATGGGCATTTAAAAAGTCGGAATGCGAATACATATGTTCAAACTCTTTTAGGTCATTTTTAAGTAGCAACAAACAAAAGAACTATGTCAATTGGACATGCTTTGATACCATATCTGCCCTTGAATTTTTACTTGATAACATTTTTGTTCGCTTTGGAGATTCCGTATATCGTCAAGTTATCGGAATTCCAATGGAGACTAACTGTGCATCACTTATTGCGGACCTGTTTTTGTATTGTTATGAGTTACAATTTATGACTAAAATCGGCAAAGACCCATCGAAACAACATCTGATACAAAAATTTAACAATACTTTTAGATATTTGGATGATATATTGGCTCTCAATAATGACGACTTCAGTATGTATACTAAAGAAATTTATCCTGTTGAACTTACTTTAAATAAAGCTAATACTAACAATGACCACTGTCCTTTCCTCGATCTTGATATCTATATCATTAACGGGAAGCTTAATACAAAAATTTATGATAAAAGAGATGATTTTTCATTTCCTATCGTTAATTATCCATTTTTAGAATGGTGACGTTCCCTTGTCACCATCTTATGGTGTTTATATATCTCAACTTGTACGATTCGCTCGTGTATGTAACAACGTATTAGATTTTAGCGAGAGAAATTTTTGTATTACTGAAAAATTATTACAACACGGTTTTCGATATCATAAACTAGTCAAAACATTTAATAAATTTTATCATCGGTATAGGGACATCATTCGTAAATATAACTCAACATGCAGAAATTTTATACGTTCGGGTATTTCACATTCAATCTTTTATGGTAATATTCTTTACAAAGCACAAAAATGTCAGTATTCACCTCAAAAGCTAACCAAACCTTTAAACAGACTTATTAAGAAGGGATATAGTTACGATACTGTTGTCAGGTCATTTAAGATTGCATATTTTGGCTTTAATATTGATTCACTTATAGGGTCTTTGCATCGGAATTAAACATATTTATTCTAAAACCAGTTGTTGGCATGACACGGGTTATGTTCTCTCATATATTTTATGATGGTATAATACTAAACCCCTAACAGGAGGGATTGTGCCTGATATTCATATGATGAAGACATAATCTTTCAATCAGTTTAATTGAAGTCTGGAGCTGGCATGTCAGTAACTGCTAGTAGTCTGTTGTTATTTATGTATTATTGTCATTTTGTTTCCTATTCTGACATCGGACTCGGACTTCTCTTAAACTGAGTTTTACTGTGCGTACTGTTGAAGACCCATTGGTGGCCTTCGGTTGTTGTCTGCTCTATGGTCGGGTTGTTGTCTCTTTGACACATTCCCCATTTCCATTCTCAATTTTAGAATAACAATATGCAATTATAATTTGGACGATTTCATACTTAGGTAGGACTGCAATATGGAATCGTGTTGCAATCCTCTAGAATTTGATGTAATTTATTAACAGGTAAAGAACAGAGCTTGGTTAATAGATAATGTCTACCGTTGTTTTGTGAAATAGAAATTAGTTCCGAAATATTTGTATTATTGGTACGAAATTTTCTATGATTGCGATTTATTCTACGCCCATTAGAACGGTTTTTACGAACTGTTTTAGAAACTGTATCCAAAATGTTAACAGAATCGGTTCTAGATATTATACCAATTCTCATGATATTATCATTAAGACCGAGAGGATAGACTGTCTGTAATTATGCCCCCACCGTAGCGGAGGGGCATTAAGTTTTACCCTTGTCCGTCCGTACGTATGTCCGTCCGTCCGTCCGTCCGTACGTCCCAAAGTTGGTTTCCGTTCTCTAACTTTAGTTTGCCTCAACCAAATGTTATAAAACTTATACACAATGCTTACAGATCAGGTTTAAATTTTGGTGGCGTCACATTAACCGTTCTTGAGTTATGACCCTTTAAAAATGGAAAAATTGCTGAATTTTTCGTTTCCGTTCTCTAACTTAAGTTTGTCTCAACCAAATGTTATGAAACTTATACACAATGCTTATTACTACAAAATACAGATCAAGTTTGATTTTTGGTGTTGTCACTTTAGCCGTTCTAGAGTGAACTGTTAAAAATTTAATAGGATGATTGTGCTTCTGAAAGTGTTGATAAATGATACTTTTGAATTTATGGGGTCTTTTAAAACGATAAAGGTGTTGTTGCGTGCGTTTAGATTAATAGCGTCCAGTTTCAACTACGTACTGAATACCGCATCCCGGTTTGTTTCATGTGAGTAAATACTGTTAGTTTTCAATTGATATCAGTTTCAAAATTTAAGAAAAATGTGCGACAATTAAACGTGGACCTTACCGTATTGTTGGTGGAAAGACGGTGACATTTAAGTCATTCTTTTTTTTGCAAGACACTTATCGATAGAAGGGTAACCACGATTTTTATTATTAACAATGTTAGCGATTGTAGTATTTTTAGATAAACGATTTTGAAGATTGAGACGTGTAGATACCCTTTGAACGAGTTTAGTATTTAATATTTTTCCATTCGAAGATTCATTATTTGTTCTTTGTTATCCGTATTTCCATTTGAAAGGAACAAAGACTGGTGTCCAGAATATGAACCAGCACACAGGAATAGAATCAAGTAAACAAGATAAAACTGTTCGGCGAAATACGTCAAACGCTATCGGTCATCAAGTACCCGACAAAATACGTTAACTACAAAATCAGAGGACAAAAACAAAAGACAGTGTATATCAGGGTAGCGCCTGACGTCTGACTAAATAGTAGAATGGGGATGAATATTGTAATATGAGTTTTACATAAATATTCCAAAAGTGATGAACATGTACATCTTTTTAAATTTTTGGGCTCTTAATGATTCTTCATTTCGTGTTAGATTTAACCATCAAAATGTTTGTTTTCACGCGAGTCTGACATACCAATATATGAGCCTAGCTTCTGTGACGATTTTTAAATGCAATCAATCAATAACAATTGCCATGATTGTACCTAAAGACCCAATGTGCATTATAATTTAAGATATTTGATTTTAGGCTATAAGTCGACTGGGTGGTGTGCCAATGAACCAAGAGTGCCATGAATTAAAGGTGAAAATCTTAGATCAGTCAAATCAGGAAATTATGTTGGAAATTAAACAATCACAGGAAGAGATCAAAGAACTGAGACAAACAGTGGACAGTTTAGGGATGGAAAACTCAAAAGTGACAGTAAACCTGAAAAATATGCAAGATTCTTATACGTCTTTACAGACTGAACACACAAAAGTTACAGAGGAAATAAAGATATTAAAAGACCCGATGCCATGGAACATCAAAGGTATATCATAATACTAGAATGATATACTGGAGGGTACACATTTATATTATTGTACAATTTCCATTCTTTTCACTTTTCCATATTATTTGCATTCAATACATACTCTTCTTCTACTAGTTGATTTGATTATAAAACGGCAGTTTGTGTATGTTATAACTATATTAAGATTTTTTACTAAATATTCTCTCTCATGAGAATATTATTTTGCCATAATTGTTTTTCCATCTTTTTGCTACAAATAATATAATGATCTAATGAAGTTAAAATTTCGTCCTTCTTGTTCTTACAATGTTGAAAAATTTGGTCTGATAGCGTAACCAGTTTTTTTTTGAGGTTCGTATTGCCCAGTCTTTAGTTTTCTATTTTGCGTTTTGTAAATTGTTACAGATGATAGCGGATATGTTCCTAATGTCGTAACTACAATACCGAACCCTTTTCACAAAAGTGACCTACCGAAATAGACTTGTTACCGGGTTTGTACTAACATGAGCAACACGACGGGTGCCACATGTGGAGCAGGATCTGCTTACCCTTTCGGAGCACCTGAGATCACCCCAAGTTTAAAGTGGGGTTCGTGTTGCTTAGTCTTTAGTTTTCTATGTTGTGTTTTGTGTACTATTGTTTAAAATTGAGAATGGAAATAGGGAATGTGTCAAAGACACAACAACCCGATCAAAGAGTAGAAAAACAAACAGCCGAAGACCACCAATGGGTCTCTAACACTGAGAGAAAATCCCTCACCCGGAGGCGGACTTCAGCCGGCCCCTAAACAAAAATGTGTACTAGTTCAGTGAAAATAGACGTCATACTTAAAAAATAATTCAAGACTAACAAAGGCCAGTGGCTCCCGACTTGGGACAGGTGCAAAAATGCGGCGGAGTTAAACATGTTTTGTGAGATCTCAACCCTCCCCCTATACCTCTAGCCAATGTAGATTAAACAAACACACAGCAATACGCACAGTAAAACTCAGTTTAAAAGAAGTCCGAGTCCGATGTCAGAAAAGTTAACAAAAGAAACTAAGCAAAATGACAATGATTTGTCTGTTTGTCTTTTTTTCTTTTTTAACCATTGCGTTGTCAGTTTATTTTCGATTAATGAGTTTAAATGTTCCTCTGTTATCTTTCGCCCCTCTTTTATAGCGATAGCGTTGTCGGCTTATAATCGACGTATGAGTTTGAATGTCCCTTAGCTATCTTTCGCCTCTCTTTTGGAAACTTATAGGGCCACTATAGAAAACAAAAGATGAATAGCAAACAAAAAATTATGAATGGCCATTTTATACATATTTCGCTATATGGAAGATTGTGTATAAAAGCATGATAGGCATGTTTAGTTTATGTAACAGTCTTAATGTTTCTATTGTTTGCCTGATAACGTTACGATTTTAGAATACTTCGTTAGCATGAAAATTTGTGTGTGTTGTGTTTTTATCAGTGGAGCATTGTGAATCTTTATATTTGAAAAGTTGTGTTTTATGGTTAAAATTAACTTCATTGTTATGTTATTATAATAAAGGATTCACATATAACCATACAATAACCCTTTAATTGTATAGAAAAGATTAAAAACGGTTTAAACATCTTTTTGTCAATGATGACTTCAATAATTATAATCTATATTTGAACCGATACAATATCATTATCTTACCTGCTATACATTTCTAGGAATATGATTGGGTAAAAGCAACCGCGTGGAGACCGTGTATATTTTATATGGGGTTAGAAGGCGTGGTTTATTTCAATACACGTTTAGTAGTGGTGTTACGTTCCTTTGTAAAAACAACACGGGGTAGAAGAAAAATCTGAATGGTTTCAACAGACGAAGAAATTATTGATGAACGATTGAAATAAATTGCAAAAACACACATTAAAAGCTTACAAGTTGTTATTTTTGGCATTTGTTTTTGTATAGGCCAATGTAAGTAGGTTTTTAATATTGAAGACTATATTGAAGACATGATTACTTTGATAGGTCACTAATCTAAGTACCACATGTTAAGATAGTCGGTAAGATAAATTCGTCACAGAGTCCGATATATTTATGGGGTCAGTAGATTCCATATTGGGATTCCTGTTTCGCTCTCACCATATGCAATTTTATGACCCATATATATAGTATTAGGTCACTACCACACTATGTAACTAATACTATTGATGACTAACTTTCTTAATGTTCTCTGGGAGGTATCCCGTTGTTATTCAATAAATCAATACTTATTGACCATTTAGGTTTATAGGTTATTGTAATCTCGGTTTTTACGGTTCGTCGATAGTTGCTAAACATGTACTCAAATGTTATCACTATTTAACATTATAATAACATACACCAATATATTTACTGTCAATACCTTGTGAACAGTATACAAAAAGTTAAATTTTTCCTTACATTGGAATAATACTTTTTCACATACCAAGGACTGTCATTATACTGCTATTGATCGCTTAACTCTATTGATTTTTGAGCGTTGAACAACAGAAGACACTCGTTCAATATCTCACTGTTGCATTGCACATGGAGACAGAATACCCTATTTTGAGGCATGCTAGTAAAATGTCAAACAAAATCGATCAACAAATAGGTATACATGTATATTAATGAAAGGAAACACGGTATATATTGTAACGAGACAGCAATGTAACAATACAAAAGTTGAGACAGAGCAATAAAATTACTAAATAAAACTAGAAAAGACGCCAAACGTTCAACATACTATCCTTACAGCAAACGATTTTCTATACCATGTGTCAATCCAGTGTAAGTGCCAAATGTGAAAATCTTTATTATGTTTCAAATTAAATTTGATCGAAATAGAATTACAACCATAGTTTATATCAAAATTACAAAGTTAATGAGCTACAAAAAGATTAACGGAAAATCGAATATGTATTGAATCAATCTTTCACAGGAGAACAGTCCTTTTAGAGTATGGAGATACCTGACTTTCAATTTACATTGTAAATTGGTGTTGCATTCAATATACAATTTTCGACCTACCTCATATAGACATTACTGTTCTAATTACCAATGATGTAAATGAGATTTTCAAAAACAAATGATTATGCAATGATCTGATGTTTTGGCCTTGACCATATTTTCATGATTAAATGATAACAAAGATTGAATGTCACGCTTAAGTGCTTAGTTTAGTTTCATCGTTTCTGTAGGTTATATTTGCAATACATGTTGACTGTATAATCGCAACAAGGTGTACACGTGTCACTTTACCCAGACGCATATTCTTGACTAGTTGATCAATATTCTGATTTGTGATATGGTAAATTCTTCATTTTATATCAATAATGAGGTAAATATGATGAATAAAAGAGAAATAAGTATAAATCAAAATAGTTGTCATTAAATATTATTGATATGGTCATTTTTATAAACGCCCTGGTAACAAATGTTTGAATCTTTTGAAATAACAAGGACTGGTCATCCTAATGGAAGATATAACAATGGTCGTTTTCTGTCAACACTTTTTCGAAATTTAGGTTCTAACTGCTCTTCACATTCGATTAGGTATACTAATCATTTTCATTTGAGCCATTGGCGGATCCAGGGGGCTTGGGGACCCGGGCCACCCTCCTTCCTTTTGTGGGAACAATTTGGTTGATTATATAGGGAATCACTGAAGCATGACTGGAGCAGGCCCCCCTTTTAGGTCAGTCAGTGGGCCCCCTTATAAAAAGTTCTGGATCCGCCACTGTTCAGAGCGTCACTGATAAGTCTTATGTCAACAAAATGCGTCAGGCAAACCGAATTATAAGCCAGATTTCTTTGATGAGGTTTTTCATTGGTCAGTTGATCCTGCAACGTATTTGGTGATTTCCTGATATTTGTCTACAGATCAGTTCCTTAGATCCAATGTGGGTACAAGTCGATAACGTTTGACTTGTGAGTCATCATAAGATACACGTATAAGTTCCTTTAGTATATGTTCATTGGTCATTGATCACATCTGATCTTTTGTAATAACTCTGCAAAATATAAATATGTCAGAATAAAGAAAGTGAGACACAGGCACTATTATTGATATGTTATGTTATAAATATTTCCATCATTTTGATTTTCAAGATAACCAAAATTCCATCACTGCCTATTGTACTGTAACATAAGAGTATTTAGACAAATATGTTATGTCTCTTCAAATATTTTGACCTTATTGTAGTTCCAAACATTATACTTTATGAAAATAGGACTTTATTAATTTGTTGCATTGAGGTCAGAAAAGAACATACTGGAAAGTAGTACATATTTAAAACAAAATAGTTCCTACGCATAAAGGTAAATCTTAAACTATGTAGCATATATTTTAGTAATTAAAGTATCATATGAAAGGTGAAGTACTGGTAATCCTTGTAAAATACACAATTTTTCTGATAATTTTGAATGATACAAAAATGTATGAATGAATTTTAAAATTTATGGCACATGTAGCCTGTTTCTCAGATATAAAGTTCCTGGTTTGGTGTATCCAAAATTCAGGTAACCAGTGCAGAACGGTCTAATGTATTAATACAGGTATTTTGATCCCGCTTCAATAAAATGTTCTGAAGTGAAAAATTTAACGTGGATAGGAATGAGGTCCAAGAATAGGTGGTGTGCGTCTTATTAAAATTTTAGTATACAAACTGGCCTAAACTTGAGAGAATGATGTGGCACACATATAAGAGAAGTTATCTCAAGAATAAATACACTATAACTTTAAAAATACAGAAGAGCATACATATCAAGCACGGGGAAACTTTCTACGGCCTCCACTCAGCACGAGAAACAAACTCCTTTAATATAATAGAAAAACAAAGGATATGGAGTATCCATCCATTTGTTTCTTTGCAATGTCAGTATCATTCGATCACCTATTTTCAATGATCCCTTGATTCAATATGAGTAAAGTGGATATGTTAATTCGTCGGTAATTTACTTGTATATACCAATGTTATATATGTTACAGAAAATTTACTCATGTGGCGATATGGTAGACCCCAACTTTTAATTTAGATATTACCAGTTTTCCAGGCAACAAATCATTAATGTTAAAATGTTAGAATTGGAAATAAAAAATAAGGTTGGTCAGACAATGTTGAAGACATATTAATCGGATTTATGGTATCAATGTGACGAAACATATCAACAGAGTATTGGGAAATTTTTTTTTTATCTTTAGAGCAAGTAAAAGAGGAATTACAAACTTGGAAAGAAGCTGATTCAATATTTATAGAAACTAATGGAAGCAAAAGTGTTTTGAATCGTTTGGCAGAAAAGAACTGTATTGTTGTCACTGGAAGTTCGGGTACAGGAAAATCATCATTGGTGCGTCACGTTGCACTAAACATGCAAAAAGAAGGCTTTGATATCATACCAGTTACTACTCCTAAGGAAATTATCAATTGGTACAATCCAAGTAAGAAGATTTTGTTTGTTGTTGATGATTTTTGTGGAACATATACTTTGAATCAAACGCAGTTTGAAAAATGGAAAAATCTGTTGGGAAAAATCATATCGTTATTAGAAAAGAAGACAGTCAAATTAATCATGTCTTGTCGAATGCAGGTATATAAGGATCACAAATTGAGATCGTTATCATATTTTCAATCCTGTGAATGTAATCTTCTATCTGAAGACATCTGTTTATCGAAAACTGAAAAACAATCTATTGCTGAATTTTATCTGAAAAGAAACGCATTTAAGATCAGTGAATTTTATGACATGTTTGACTGTTTCCCTCTTTTGTGTCAATTATACAGCAAAAATACAAAATTGAGTATTGTTGATTTCTTTTTGAATCCATTCACAGTTTACAAGGAGGAGATAGATAAATTACAGACAGATGAAGCACATGGCAAATACTGTGCACTTGCTTTATGTGTTATGTTTAATAATCATGTGGAAGAAAAATGGCTTGTGGAAGATGTAAATAAAGATATCACAACGACTATAAAGAACACATATGAAGCATGTAAAGTAGTCAAAGGAACATCACGAATTGTTATTCGTGACGAACTTGATTCATTAACACAGTCTTATATCAGGAAGGATGGTAAAGTATTCAAAACTATTCATGACAAGCTGTTTGACTTCCTTGCTTTTTACTTTGGCAATGCTATGATGCATTGTTTAATTAACAATGCTTCAAGTCGTTTTATAAGAGAACGATTTTCATTTGAAAAAAGAAGCAAAAATGACGATTTTACAATTATTGTACCAGAAACAGATCAGCAAATATATTTAGAGAGAATGATAAATGACTGGTCGAGGGGAAAAGTAGATGTCTACTGTAATACTAATATGGACAATGAAACATTCAGAAAAAAATTCCGTCGATATCTATACAGGTTAGAATTATCAAAACAACAAGAGCTGGCTAATTCATCTGACATTGATGATAAAAGTACTCCATTGATAATGTGTTGTTTTGATGGAGATATTGATATGGTTAAATGGTGTTTACAACATTGTAAAAGTAATGTAAACCATAGTCGTAATGAGGATGGATTATCAGCTTTGTACATTGCTTGCCAGGATGGACACACTGAATTAGTTCAGATATTAATAAACCATGAGGCTGATATCAATAAGTGTGTTAAAGAACAAAAAGTGTCACCTCTCTTCATTACTTGTCAGGTAGGATACACCGAAATAGCTCAGACGTTAATAAGCAATAAGGCAGACATAAATAAGTGTATAGATACCGGGGAATCACCCCTTTGGATTGCTTCTCAGGAAGGACACATTGAATTAGTTCAGATATTAATAAAAAATAAAGCAAACATTAATAAATGCTGTATTGAAGAAAGATCACCTCTGTATATTGCATGTCAGAATGGACAAACTGAAGTAGTTCAAATGTTAATAAACAATAATGCAGACATTTATAAATGTAAAGATACTGGACAATCGCCTTTGTATATTTCTTGTCAACAAAGACATACTAAAGTAGTTCAGAAGTTAATCAACAATAAGGCAAACATTAATAAGTGTGATGAAACAGGACAATCACCTCTGTACATTGCGTCTTGTAATGGGTATACGGAAATAGTTCAAATGTTAATTGACAATAAGACAGACATTAATACGTGTAGCGATAATGGCGGATCACCTCTCTACATTGCTTGTTATAAAGGAAATACTGACATAGTTGAGTTACTGATAAACAATGCGGCAGATATCAATAGTTGTAATAATGAAGAAGATTCACCTGTGTTTATTGCTTGTCAGGAAGGACATAATGAGATAGTTGAGAAGTTAATAAACCATTCGGCAGATATCGATAAGTGTAATAATGAAGAAGTTTCACCTTTATACATTGCCTGTCAGGAAGGGCATACGGAGATAGTTAAGAAGATACTAAACAATAAAGCAGCTATTAATAAATGTTGTAATGAAGATATATCTCCTTTGTATATTGCTTGTGCGAAAGGACATACTGAAATAATTCAGATGTTAATAAACAAGAAGGCAGACATTAATAAGTGTAGTAATGAAGAAGAATCCCCTCTGTACATTTCTTGTCTCGAAGGACATACTGAAGTAGTTAGGAAATTAATAAACAGTAATGCAGACATTAATAGATGCACGAATACTGGACAATCACCTCTGTACATTGCTTGCTGGAAAGGAGAAACGGAAATAGCTGAAATGTTGATTAACAATAAGGCAAACATAAACAAGTGCAGAAATACTGGAGAAACACCTCTGTACAACGCTTGTATAGAAGGACATACTGAATTAGTTAGGATTTTGATAAACAATAAGGCAGACATTAATAAGTGTGAAGATTCAGAAATATCACCCCTGTACATTGCTTGTCAGGAAGGACATTCTGAAATAGTTCAGATATTAATACACAATAAGGCAGACATTAATAAATGTAAAGATGCTGGAGAATCACCTCTGTACATTGCTTGTTGGAAAGGACATACTGAAGTAGTTCAGATGTTAATAAAGAATAAGGCAGACATTAATAAGTGTGAAAATTCAGAAGTATCACCCCTATACATTGCTTGTCAGAAAGGACATACCGAAGTTGTGCAGTTGTTAATAAACAATAAGGCAGACATTAACAAGTGTATAGATACTGGAGAACCACCACTGTTCATTGCTTGTTGGAAAGGACAAACTGAAATTGTACAGATGCTAGTAAACCATAATGCAGATATTAATAAGTGTAGTAATAAAGGACAATCACCTTTGTACATTGCCTGTAGAGAAGGACATGCGGAAGTAGTTCAGATGTTAATTAACAATAAAGCAGACATTAACAAATGTACGGATACCGGTGAATCGTCTCTGTTCGTTGCTTGTGCAGTAGGACATATCGAAATAGTTCAGATACTTATAAACAATAAAGTAGACATTAACAAATGTAAACATAATGGGCAATCATATCCGTATAATAATTGCTGGGTAGGAAATACTGCAGTAGATTCGTTGTTAGAAAACATTCAGACATACCTTTATATGTGTCATGATGAAGAAGTATCGCCTTTGTACATTGCTTGTCAGGAAGGTCATTCTGAAATAGCTCAAATATTAATTAACAATAAGGCAGATATAAATTACTGTAGAGGTACTGATGAATCACCCTTGTACGTTGCTTGTGAAGAAGGACATACCGATGTAGTTGAGGTGTTAATAGATAATAAAGCAGACATTAATATGTGTAAATATACTGGAGAATCACCTCTGTACATCGCTTGTGAGAAAGGATATACTAAAGTAGTTCAGATATTGATAAACAATAAAGCAGACATTGATAGGTTCACAGATTTTGGTGAATCCCCTCTGTTTATTGCTTGTCAAAGAGGTCATACTGCAGTAGTTCAGATGTTAATAAACAATAAAGCAGACATTAACAAGTGTAAAGATACTGATCAGTCACCTCTGTACGTTGCTTGTGAAGAAGGACATGCTGAAGTAGTTCAGATTTTGATAAACAAAAAGGCAGACATTAACAAATGTAGAGACTCTGGTGAATCACCGCTGATCATTGCTTGTGAAGAAGGACATACCGAAGTAGTTAATATGTTGATAAACAATAAGGCAGACATTAATAAGTGTAGAAACACTGGAGAGTCACCGCTGTGCATTGCTTGTGAGAAAGGACATACTGAAATAGTTCAGATGTTAACAATAAGGCAGACATTTACCCAGTGACTTCGACGTTTTTAGAATGAATCTCATGTCGTACGCGGTATTTATTTAGAATTCGAGACAACTGTTTCAAACTGCATTTTCTGACGTCAAATCTGTGATTAAGACATTATACGGATATTTTTTTTTTAATTTGAATATCTAGGATAAATGTTTTGATTAATATTCAACATGTTCAAGTAGAAAAATATTGTATTTATATTTAATGTTTGTTTGGAAAATTGTTGTTTTGAGTAATATTTTTACGAGGGGCTCATACGTACGAAGTGTGGTCTTACGACAATGGCCACATATGTTACTAGCGCTGTCTAAATAAAGGCAACAGTAATATACCGGTGTTCAAAAGTCATAAATCGATTTAGAGAAAAACAAATCCGGGTTACAAACCGAAATCTTACATTGATAAATGTGTACTTAAAGGAGAGTCCTTATGTTGATAGCTTATTATTAACACAGCCTTCATTACATTAGGGCCTTCACTACATTAGAGCCTTTACTACACAAGCTGTTGAACCAATTTTGAACTGAAACGGACATTTGATCCGAACTTGTTTTAGTTGTTCAGTAGCTATCATTTACCTGTACGAAACAACAACATACTGAATTGTCTGAAAAAGAATTGCAAAGTACTTATTGACTGCAAGCAAAAAATCTGAACAGTACTGGATTTACCACAACAAAAATGTATGAAAAAAACCTTAAATTCTTTCCAAGACTTAACGGTTTTAGTTTCAGACTTTTCCGATGATGTTAGAATCAAAATAACCGTTTAAGACTAAAATTCATTTACTTGTGCTAGTTTTATCGAGACAAATTATCGTAAAAGTATAAGTTACGGCCGATGGTCAGGTATCTTACGATTGACTCTCGAAAGTAATTTTATCGAGCAGAGACATGTATGGTTAGTTTTTTTTATCCAATTTATTGAATTGCAAGGAGAAATTATAAAATTACCAAAAAGCTAAAGCAGTCTGTCAAAATGGTTCAATGGTATTATTCAGTATCCGAAAGATATTTCATCATTTCCAGTTTGTACGCCAAAGAGGCTGTATTTTACAAAGTTCGAAAACGTAAATGTAAACATATACCAAATAAATGACAAAAAGAAACAACATCAAAGTGCTTATATTCAACAAATTGAGTGATAAAATGGAAGATGTAGAGCTATATATTATTTCAATATGCTACCAGAATTTTTATTAGCTTTCACTTCGACTACTATCCGGTGGTGGAGACGGCGACGGCGAAAGCGGCGAAAACTGTTTTCATACCATATATGCAGATGCCTTATGTAACCAAATTTCTAGTGTCGTATGCCCATTGTCCTATATCTCATTTTCATGGTTCAGCGACTGCTAGAAAACATGTTTAGTTTTTTGTCACGTTAAATACTCACTTATTATGAGTTATATGATAACAATATTTGATGTATGGGATTTTTACAAGCTCTAAATGTCGGACAGGCAGAATTCAAATGACCTCGACCTCGTTTCAGTGGTCAAAGTTTAGGTTTATTTGTTTTGTCTGTATCTCAGATACTATAAACAATAGGTAGTATATTTTTGTGTATATTAAATAATTGTCAAGTGTACATGTCCGACTAGCAGGTTTCATTTGACCTTGACCTTATTTTCATAGTTTATTTGTAAAAGGTTTTTGTGGTTTTGTCTATTTCTGAGATAATATAAGCAATAGGGTAATTATATTTGATGTATTAACAACACTAACGGTCCCAATTTGTCTGCACCAGATGCGTATTTCGACAATATATGTCTCCTCAGCATGTTCAGTGATGCTCGAGGCCAAAATATTTGAAAATCAAAAGCTTATTAAAAAGATGAAGAACTATAATCGAAAAAGGTCAAACAAGTAAAGCCGAACCGGGCAAAGAATCAGAGCTTTGCATGAGGGAGATATTCTTCCTTAATTTAAACATTTATTTTAAATTTTGTGACAGCAATTTTCAATAACAAAATTAAACAATCCATATTTTCATGCCAGTACCGAAATATTGGCTACTGGGCTGGTGATACCCTCGGGGACTAACATTCCACCAGAAGAGGCATCGACCCAGTGGTAGCAATACCATTAAAGGTACCAATTTATCTGCACAAGATGCGCATTTCGACAATAAATGTATCTTCAGCATGTTCAGTGATGCTCGAGGCCAAAATATTTGAAAAATCAAAAGATTATTAAAAAGATGAAGAACATTAATCCAAAAAGGTTTTAAAAATGGGATAATTGGAAGGTGTACATGTCTGTCTGGCATGTTTCATATGACCTTCACCTCCTTTTCACTGTCCGTTGGTCAATGTTTGATTTTTATAATTTTGTCAGTTTATCAAGTACTATAAGCAATTCATTTTAGATTACCTGTTTCAAAAGAAAAAGGTTAAAAGTGAGAAAAACACATTCTCCCACGAATCTTAGTCTGTAGTTTTCTATGTGTGTTTTGTAGCCTGTCGTTTGTCTTTTGGTGGTTTTTCGTTATATGCTACGGCATTGTCAGTTCGTTTTTTTGCTTATGAGCTTGAGTTTCCCCTATTCAACCACTATATTTCAAAATTTCAATGGAATTTATCAAAACTGATTATTTACCCTTAACTATAGGGTTGCAAAACATTTGTTTTAGTCAGTCTAAGAATTGCAGAAATGATTATTGTAACCTGTTGGTTTATATTAATTGAAACTTGTAAAATGTGTGGGTTTTGTTTAGTTTAATATCTTTTCAGTCCATTTGTGAAATTAAGATTTTTCAGTGTTGATCATCATCATATATCTTATTTTATTGTACTTATAAAAAGGGCAAATATAAGTTTCCTAAAATTGTTTTGCTGTAACATAATCACAATGTCTGCCAAAAGGGAAACATGTATATCAATTTAATTTTTTTTCTGAAATATCAGATACTTCAGCTTAATGTTATTGAATCCGGATTATTGTTTTATTCGTGAAATCTTATGTACCACTTCATAAAAGCACCATACCAAGTTAGGAAACTTAGAATCACGCGAACGAACGTACACTTGTCTTAATCGTGTTAGAATCAACGCAGCTAACTACAGTTGGGAGTCGACCACAGTTAACATAATTTAACACCAATTCAACGCTTCGTACACAATTTTCTATGTCTACTCCAATTTCGTGGTTTTTTGTTAGCATGTATTGGAAATTGTTAACTCTTTCAGTGCCAGGGAATGTTTCTCAATTTTCCTTTTACTGCCAAGCTTGTTTTTTTCTAAGGTACATATTTGCCGTCAGTGACGATAACAATAACGTCGCGTCATAAGATTTTGCGTAAAAGGGTACATATATACGACGTCTTTCAGTGATTGCATTTGAACGGCAATTTTGAGAAGTTTTGCTTCTGTATACGTAGAAGTAAATTGTACTTTTTCGGTAATAATTTTATTAAAAATCTCAGGGGCATAGGTAGGTTTTAACTTTTTTATTTCTTGTTAAATTAGAAGAGATGGTTCCACAGCGCTCAAACAAACAGTTGATAGTTGAGCTTCCTCACGGGGTTTTTGATTATGTGATTACTTGGACGTTTTTTAATGATTATTTGATTACCAGACCAAATATTTCATGATTATTTGATTATTTGATAATCTAGGAGTGTATTTTTTATACGCCCGATTACGGGACGTATTATGGTAAACCGTTGTCCGTCCGTCCGTCTGTCGTCAACAAATCGGATATTACCTCAAAAACGCTTTAACCAATTTGCATAAAACTTTGGTGAATGGTTAATATCTATTGACGTGAGCTCCCTTTCTTTTTTTTATAAATTTTAGATTTTACGTTTCCGAGTTATGGGGTTGTATTATAAAAAAATTTACCAATTAAAAACTATTATCTTCGAATCGTGCTGCAACAAAAGTTTCAATAAAATTTTGATTGTGAAAAATAAAAGCGGCAAAATCAAGAGAACTAAACACCGTATGTGTTCACTCTGCGGTCTTTATTTTTTTTTTTTACAGCAGATATAATTTTTTTTATTTTTTGAAAGAGAGAATGTATAGATGGATGCAATTTAGAAATTCGATTTAAAATGCACATGTATCCTTTCGTTCGTATGTTATATATAATTGGCAGTGATTTGGGTTAAATTCTGGTAAACTTTACATTAATTAAACAGAGAATTCGACATTTTCCTGCGATTAAAAAACCAATAAATATAGTTTTTTTATGACTGCATAAAAAGGACAATTTGATATCATATTTACTTTCAATTGATATTCTAAAAGAAAACTTGCATTCACTGTCCTTCTTTTCTCGCTATTGGAGAAAAACAGATTTTTTCTATATACACTGAATAACACAAACGAAGCACCACTTCTTTCCATACATAGCAATTTTTTATAAAATATAATCTTAAAATGAATCCCCGGGTTTAAGAGAAATTTTCGTTTTTGTGGCGACAATGTGGATTTCAACCAAACAATAGTCCAAAATCAAAAGTAAGTTATTTTCAAATTGGTCATTACAGAAAAATAAGATAAAAATTTTAACATCTTACTAATTTTTCATTGTTTTTAGGTGAAAAGATTCACGCGACTTTCGTTTTTACAACATTTTTATGCCCCTCCTATATGGACATTGTGTTTTCCGGTCTGTGCGTCCGTTCGTTCGTCCGTCTGTCCCGCTTCAGGTTAAATTTTTATTCAATGTAGTTTTTGATGAAGTTGAAGTGCAATCAACTTGGAACTTAGTACACATGTTTCCAATAATATGATATTTTTAATTCTAATGTCAAATTAGAGTTTTGATCCCAATTTCACGGTCCACTGAACATAGAAAATGATAGTGCGAGTGGGGCATCCGTGTAGTGTGGACACATTCTTTTTCATTTTTGTGTTGACAAATTGATTTTTTTGAGAAGTTTTTGTTGATGTTGATGACCCCAGTAACATTGTGTAAATTTTTGGACTCATTTCAAGCACTTATAAAGCAATCATAGATTTGGCTGATATGATCATAGGTACATGTACTTGGAGACAGGACGATTTTTTTTACCTTCCCCTATTTTCCAAAAAATATATACACCAGTAACAGCTGTGGATAGTAAACATGGAATTGATAGTAAATAGCAAATACAAGTTATTTATAGTATATTTATCATTTTATGTTCTTATAATACAGGAAAAACGCGAAAATAATTGAAATTAATAGAAAACGATAGAATAATGGATTTTTGAAAAAAGGGAGAGGGCCAAAAAAAAAAATTGTCCTGTCCCCAAGTACCTATAGATATGATGAAAGAGATTTATAATGATGGACGAAAAACTTTAAAGTATGGAAAAAGGTAGCTTTTTAATCTTATGCACCGTATGGTTATCACTGCATACACATTATACCAATAAAATACATCGGATAACCTTAAACTGTCAAGATAAGCTTTCACGCAGCAGCTTATTGAGGATCTCGTCAAAGACCACAGGATGCAAAGAAACGAAAATCGAGACAATTTAGACAAAATAAGAATAAAAATGGAATAAGAAAGTTGTTCGGTCATCGAGAGAAAGACTGTGATGTATGTTCAGACAGGAATGGTTACGGGGGTCGAATCAGGAGTTAGGACAGTGTGTCGAGTATGCAGTAAGGGGGTGCGCCGGGATTGTTAACATAATCATTAGTGTGTTGAATCTTGATTAAAAATATATTATTTGTTTCTGATAAAAAAAAAACGTTTTTATTGTAATACCAGTTATCGTTTTAAAATGGAGAAGTGAGAACATAAGACAATGCACCACACTTACATGAATAAATGATTGATAATGCATCAAATCCCCATCCCATCCCATAAATATGGCTCTGTAGGATCACGACAAGCACTTTAATTACTCAGCTTTACTTTTCCCTAGATGGTATTTTTAATTGATTTTTCGGTCATTCTGGTATTTGAAATCGCTCTTCGAACGTTTTTAGGCTTCTTGGTTTGTTTGATAATTCCATAATTCGGATCTGGACCACTACTGAAGATTCATTATTTGATGAAACGTGCACATACAGTGCAACAAAATTGGTTTCAGTAATTAAACATTTCGACTGCTATCATTAATGAGGGGCGTAAAGGGGGTATCTGCACGGAAGAACGCTAAATAAAATTGCCATTTCACGATGAACGAACAATTGAAAATTTATTGTACGTTGATCTTTTTACCGATTTCACGAAATACGGTGAATAACGAACCTTTTTCACGGCTGCACGTGAAATAAAAATGGCAAAACACGTTGCACGAAAATAACCCTTAAAGTTTACCACCCTCATTTCTTTGATATGATTTTTTTTATATAAAACAAAACAGAAAAATCAGCAGAAAGTCCACAAAATGAAAACAATTGAAATAATTTATATATATTCTCTATAAAAGTAGGGCCGACGCAACTAAAATGAAAATTTGAAAGCACTTTGCATGCATAACGTTACGTGTTGTTACGGCACAGTTCTTCGTCTGTGTAGCCACTCCCATAGTACACAAAAGAGGCAACGTCACTGAAGCCTATTGTTCGACGTAAGGAAAAAAACATCGGCCGAAAATCGGCCCGTGGCAGTCAACGTAGTATTTACAAATCGGCCTAAAATCGGCCCGTGGCACAGAAAACGTTAAATGCACAGGGTAATATAATCTGGACACTTTAAGGCAGAAAGGCCACCTGTAATGTCACTATGACGCCAAAACATGTCGAAATTTGCGTATCTGAATATCACTGAAATGTTCCAATTGTTGTCAATTTACAGTTTATAAAATGTTGAATTACTCGAAATACTAAGGGTTTTCTACTCCAGGCATATATTGCATTAGTCGTATTTTGGCACAACTTTTTATGAGCTTAACTATCCCCTATTCATCCATTCAGCCATGGTGTTGTCAGTTTATTTTCGACTTATGAGTTTGAATGTCCCTTTGGTATCCATCGCCTCTCTTTTTATGCCATGCATTTGGGCGTTTGGACGCTTGAACTTTTTATAGCGTTATTTTCATTTTGTATACCAAAGTATTTTTATTTGTTATTGTGAAAGTTTGTACATGTCATTATGTCTTATATACTGTACTAGATCATCAACTAAATTTTTTTGGCAAGATTGAATTGTATATTTGTTTGGATTATTCTAAGTGTTTATGTTGTATATCTATGATGCCAAGTGATAATATGCACAGCATAACTTTGAAAATACTTTTTTTTCAATTATTCTGTTTTTATTGATTAATGCCTGCTAGTGAATGTTTCTCCCCCGGGGGGTATCACCAGGCAAATAGTTAGCACTTTTGTGTTGACATAAAAGATAATTTATATGTTCATTTCTGTAAATTTACTGTTTTATAACATTTTGATTATTTTCGTAACACTTATGTTTTTCTACCCTCACATAGGCATATATTGCTTTAGCGTCAGGGACAATTTCTCGAAATTTTTGGTTTATAATGCTCTTAAATTTTGAATTTGATTTGGCTTTCCACTTGATATGATTCGAGGGCCACTTACAGAGTCCTGTGTAAATTAAGTGCGCGTCTGGCATACCAAATTATATATATCGAGTCTTTGATAATGAAACAATTTCTATAAGAAAAGGAAATAAGTCCGGCATTCTGATTTAATGACGACAGACTAATAATGTACGTGTATTTCCAAGACAAAGTAAAGAAGCTCAAGTCATAGCTCTACATTAAAAAATCAAACATTCTAGATAAAGGAAACTATAGACCTGTAAGTAATATTGAATATTTCAACCCTTTTTATTTCATATATTATTTTCTGTAAGCATTTCTAAAAGGACACGGATGTCAAATAGCTAAACATAAACATTAAAGACTGGCAAAAGGCTTAAGATCAAAATAAATATGCAACAGCTCTATTATTTGACTTGTCCAAGGTTTTTGATTGCCTAATCCATGACCTCCATCTAATAAAATTGAAATCCTGTGGTGTCTCCACTTCATCTCTTAATCTTTTGGAATCTTTTTTCAAACTAATATGAAAACAATGTGTTATAGTAGGTTATAATGCCAGTTACTGACAATCAATGTTTAGAGAGGTGCCACAAGGATTTATACTGGGATCAACACTATTTAATATCATCTTAAATTATATTTCCTTCTTTATTCATAATAGTGAACTCTATAAATATGTAGGGGCCTCGGTGGCCGAGTGGTCTAAGTAGTCGAACTGTTGTGAGTTTGAATCAGGCACGTGGCAGGTGTGTTCGACTCCAATCTTAATTGACTAGGATTATCAGTTTTCCTATCGAAGGTCGGTGGTTCTCTCCGGGCACTCCGGCTTCCTCCACATTAAAAAACTGACTGCCACGAAATAGTGCAATAGTGACCATCAACACTGTACATTCAATCAATCAATAAAACTATGCAGACGACAACACACTGTTATACACATATAAACACATACTTAATTAAAATCTTAATAAATTCGGTATGACAGCTCATGCGAAACCTGCAAGGGTTCTTAACGTGCAGAGAGCGTGGTAATCTCTTTACATAAGGCATCGGCTTTAACGTCCCCACTCTGTCTGGACGTGGCTGCGTACTTGTACATCCCCCACGGCCGAACGGACGCCCCGCCTGGGTGAGTGTTTTACTGCCGGTCGGAGGAAGACCAATGGTGACCATATTTCTATTCCCCAGTCACCCTTGGGGGCTTTTGCTCATCTGTGTTGTGTAACTAATCTCTTTATGTTTTTTGTCGAGTCTGCGACATTTATGTCGCGAAAGATAAACATAGCGATCCTAGATTCCGTTGTCGTCGTCGGCATCGGAGGCGTCAACATTCAGGTTCAGTCTGTGGTAAAAGTATTTTAGACATCAATATCTTTGTCAAACCTTCATGGAATTTTATGAAATTTGGACAAAAGCTTGTTTGTGACCAATATACAATATCCAGAGCAAAATTTTGAAAATTTTATTTTCATTTTTTGCATATTTAACTAAAATGGAATAAGTTTTTTACAATTAACATTCAGGCTCAGTCTTTAATTTGTGTTTTACGTATGCATAATATGAACTCTTGCTTTCTGTGCTTAATTGTGTGTGGTCATGATTTGCTATGTATGTATTGTTTGATGTGCAATTGTTTACAATTTCTCAGTAGATTTACCTTCATCTGGAACGTCCAAACCCTAAATTCAGGGATGTCTATAGAGAAAAGGAGTTGAAAGGTATACGTCAATGAGACAGCCAAGCCTAGCGATAAAACATCAAAAGGGCAACGTACTATCTTAATCAATAGAGAAATATCTTTGCAATATGTTAAGCTCTTAATTGTCACGATCGTATACGAAAGTTCTGAATAAATTAAACAGTAACAATCAAAGATCTGCCATTAAAACCTAATTTGTTCAAACAACAAAAACCATTAAGATGACATTCGACAACGTCTGACAGAGGTTACTACAAGAGGAGGTTTTTGACCAAACACATCCCCAGAAAATGAAAATACGCAATTTCAAATGAAAATAATTAACGTTTTGACGACAACACATTTCGTCAAAAAACATTCATCGTCTGGAGACTATGCCAGAAAACAAAGTAAGTATATATAATAATTCATTTATATAACAAAGTATAACTGAAATGTCATGAAATATCACAAAATTGTATGAAAAATGAGAACAAGGTTGATTTATAAACAAGAAAATGACTGTTCGAGTTTTGCATAGATGATAAACGACAATTATGTTTGCATTGCTGGTCTTAAAAGTGAAATAAAGTTGCTGAACATTTCTAAAAAAAATTTGCTACTCTCGTTTCATCAAGACGTCCTCCGAAGGCAAGCTGCTAATATCTCGTTTCATCAAGACGTCATCAAGGCAAGCTGCTGATATCTCGTTTAGCGGGAAGACCTTGAGGCTTTGCCTTTTCCTTACTCCTTTGTTCGAACATTAAAATTCTGAGAAAAATAAAATGACATAATAAAAAACAATTGTATATTATTTTCAAATGAAAAAAAAGAATAAATAGAGACGGAAAATACCAAAAATAAATAAATAAATAAAAAGAGACGGAAGATAAAAAAAAACATGAAAAAGAGACAGAAGATATAAAAAAAAATAATAAAAAAAAAGAGATGGAAGTTACCAAGGAGACATTCGATCAAAACTCGTATGTCTAAGAAAATTGATAACGCCATGGCAAAAACCAAAAAACGACGAAAAGAAGATAAAAATCACGATAAGGTGCATCATTTCATGGCAAAAAAATCAATGCGTGCACATAAAAAAAACCCAGCAAAATCAAATGTAAAGGAACAGCGCTTTTATTGCTGTTCTCCGTCTATTATCATTCAACAACAAGAAGCACGAATACTCCTACGGCTCAAATGTTATTTCATTTCGTTTTTGTTGAAATCAATATAGACAATCTTTTAATTTCTTATGTCTTTTGTGTGTTTTTTTTTCAGTTCCTTTCAGATAATGGTATTGACATGTATAGTAGCAAGTATTTCATGCTTATTCGGGATGATAATAAGTAAATAGCCCTTCTCGCATACAAAAATTCATAAGACATGAACACATTATTCCTTAGATGTCATTGCTGTCTTGTTCGTATTTGTTCTAGTGCAATGCACAAGTGTGACTTAATCTACACCTAACATTCTTGAACATATGATGAGATGTCAGCATTGAGTCCGTGTTTTTAACGTGAATGTGAGCTTTAGATGAAAAGCAGCAATGAAAAACACTTTTACCAATTAAGGTGTGAAGTATGTGTATTGGTGTTTGTGTTTTTGTCCTCTATTATATAATATATCTGAATAATTCGTAATAATATATATATATATATATATATATATATATATATATATACCTTTATATCAATCATCCATACTTACATTTTCAGTACTGTAGATTTTTTCCCTAACATCATATTTAAGAACTCCCTGTAATGAATTGTCCCGGAATTATTCGTGTCTACCTCTTGGATCATTTTCTTCACTTCCTTGTGAGTTTTAGGCGTTCCCAGTTTTTCTAACATTTGTTTCAATTCCATTTCATCTAAAATAAAGACGAAGTTTTACTGTCCTGTTATTTAAATTTGATTAACGTCCAGTGGTAAATATTCAGGACGAGAAAAAATTAAAAATGAAAAATGGAAAATCGTTTCTGTTTCGAAAAAAATACTGTCAAGGACAAATCTTATATTGATTGAGTGTTGCTTAATGTCCAGTGGTTAATATTTCATACATGTTCAGGACGTCACAACGGCACATCTTAGAGTATGTTTGTTTAGTTTCACCAATAATATACCTACTGAATTATTGAACCTGCATATTTTGTGAAATATAGTGAAGTATATGAATTTTTCAAATGCTGTATTTACTTTATCGATATTTTGCTCTGTAAAAACATTATTACTGTCCAAACCAGCGGTAAATAGATCGTAGAAAGTTCCTGTATATTGTTTATAGATCCATCTTGTTTTCATTTGGTGCCACAGTATCAGTGGAAACCGCTTGACTTTCCAACGCAACTTCCTTCCTCCCGGTCTTATGTATTAGAAAAGAAAGGATATGGGGTATCCATCTATGACATAACATCAGTACATGCATAGAAAAAACACAAAAAGAAAAGGAACAGTACACGTATTAACGTTGCTCAATCTTCATTTTTGTGCGTAGATTTTTTGTGGACTGCTCTCTGTTAATCTGTTTTCTTTGTGCAATAAATTTGTTATTTCTTTTTCGATTTACGGTAAAAAGTTGTCCTTAGGTATCTTTTTCCTATTTTGATATCTTTTAAAGGTCTGGATCTGAATTTTTCTTATTTCCGAAAATATTCTTTATATTTTCCTTGAGTTTCTATTTTGTAGAATCCCCTCAATTCATACCGTCATTTATTAGCAGATGCCGATCCAAGCTTTAAAAAAGGGGACGGGGCCGCCTTCTAAGCAACGTCTGGAGTGGAACATGTAAAAAAATGTCTATGCATTAATCATAAATGTAGCTCCATAAGATGGGCCCTGGCACCCTGCCCTCCCTAGATCCGCCTCAGTTTTCTTCAATTTTGTTCAATTTTCATCTATTCTTTTTATTTTTCTTTAGTTTCTATTCAGTAATCCTCCCATCCCCCCCCCCCCCCCCCCCCCCACATCCCCTATTCATACCGTCATTTATTAGCACATGCTATGCGCATAACTTTATACTCACCTATGTCACCAGAATTATCTAGATCAAACTCCATAAATTGTGCTGAAACATACAGTAAGAAATATTAAAAAAAGAATAATAATCGAAGTTACGTAAAATGTAAAAAATTACAATTAATTCAAACATAAAAAAAAGACGATGTAGTATAATAATTGCCAATGACACAACTCTCCACCTGAGACCAAATGACATAGAAGTTAACAACTATAGGTCACCATCTACGTGGAAATAAAACAAACTTTTAACAATCCAATCAGCAATAATACAAACGAACTAGAACTAGGTGCACTGCGCATGACTGGTATGATCAAATTTAAAATCAAAATTTATACCCTAAAAATGATTTGGGACAAGTAACCGCTGAAAACCAGCAATATAGTCAGATCCCCAATAAAAAAAGAGAACGGTCTACGACACATAAAGTCACAAGGCAATTTCTGTTTAAAAGTAATTTGTTAACGTTAAAACAGCATTTCATTTTTTAACATGTGCTTTCTCCTGAATTTTTCGTATTTCCGAAACTCAAATGGGGAATTTATTTTTGATTTGCATGCATTCATTGGTATTTTTAATTGTTCCTCAGATTCGCTGTGATTCGATATTGCAAGACGATTCGGAATTTGTCTGTACTTATTTTTTGCTTTGGTCAAAATTGAATAACTTCAAATTAGAATGTGAATTTAAAGAAACAGATCATGCATGCATCCAGGCTTCGCTCGAATCGTGGATATAGGATCTGCTTGTTCAAATTATATCTCACCTTTATAAGCCACCAGCTGTTGTGGCAGGTCTTCAATTTCTGAATAGCAATCGTCTGTTTCATATTCCTGGAGAAAAAAAAACTCGTCTAATTATACATATCTTCCAAAATAAAAATAAGAAAATGTGGTATGATTGCCAATGAGACAACTATCCACCCAAGTTCCAATGAAGTGGATGTAGGCAACCGTACGGCCTTCAACAATGAGAAAAACGCATACCGTATAGTCGGCTATAAAAGGCCAAAGTATGTTATCGCGTCTTACAAGGTTGGTCTGTCATTGTATACGTGGTGTGAATTGATGAAGGAATGACATTTAAGAGAGTTTGGATAGTGTTCACAGAATAACTGGCAAAAAGAAAGAATGAAAACAAAATGGGAAAATAAGAACAGTGATTAATGGTCTCCTAAGCGATAAAGAATAGAAGAAATGCGAAAAACAAAGACCCCATCAACGCCATTATACTGTTTAGCTCTTGAATGAGATGCCTACAGTAGGAATTGCGCGATCACAGTCAAAAATAAAATGATTTGATTATCGAAAGACAACTGAGGTATACGCCAATCAGACAAGTAAATCTGATCCTCATTACTGTCTATAAAATTAAAAGAGAGGCGACAGATACCAAAGGGACATTTAAACTTATAGTCGAAAACAATCTGACAATGTCATGGCAAAACAAGAAATACAATTAAAAGTCAAACAACAGCTAGACATAACGCAACATAGAAAAACCAAAGACCGAGCAACACGAACCCCACCAAAAACCAGGGGTGATCTCAGTGGTTTCTGTTTATATTTGCAAATGTTGTTTATTCCTGCGTCTGCATGTTGAACCAAGACTTTGGTTAAGGCTCCGACATGGAAATGAAAAAAATGTGTATTTAATTTGTAAAGTACTAATTCCTTTACTAGCAGTAATATGCAAATTGAAACTGGTTGGCTATAAGTCCCTTCTATCTGGTTGTTTAAACAAGATGGAACGATCGTTAATTATTTTCAATTTGGTATATAAGCGCTCATTATTTGAAATTACCTTATTAATGTCAGATAGTTCCTCCTCTTGTTGTTTCTTTAACATACCAAACTTCTTCCCACCTAAACAAAACAAATGAAAATAAATGTATTGACATTATTGATGTTGTTCAATCTTTTGTTTTCTGTGTATTCCTTTTCTCTTTCAGTCTTTCTTTCTTCAAATATTGGTTTTTAATTGCCTCCTTGGTATCATTTTGCCTTTTTATGATGATTAATAACATTAAGGTCGAACAGTTCTTTTTTAAACGACCCCCGAGTGTATACCCATGTTTGAAATTAACATCCCATCCTGAATATGCATTTAATTTTCCGCTGCACGTTAAGTAAAAATGTATTCATCTGACATCAACATCATCAAAATGCTCGTGTGTATTTATCGTATTCTCATATCCGTCCGACAGTCCGTAAATCTGAGCTATCAAAAGATAACAACTAGACCACTTATGTAATGTTATAGAAGACTTACGATAGTTTATGATTTAAATCGATTTGGCCATTGAGGTTAAATTATGATCATTTTATTTTCTGATAAAAATCGCATTCTATTTTTTAGTTTTGTTTCCAGAGACACTTTTATTCAACATTTACTGTCGGATAATTATGGGTCTTTACTTTATATTTATTAACAAAATACGGAAAACTTATTTCATTTCGCGACTATACAGAGAGAAGCACTGAAGAACCCGATGAGTATATTTCCATTCCTGCATCCGTTCTAGTCTTGAGATTTTTTATTTTGTGAAATATCGTTATTTTTTTAACACTTAAAAACAGTGAACCAAAAATATTAATAATCGGCATTGGATGTTCTTTACTTTTTATAAATAAGTCGAGTTTGAATTTTCAATAATTTCGCGTCCATTTTTAATAACTTTCTAGTTACAGTCTTTTAAATTTTCAAAGTAATTGTTTATTTTTGTTTTTCATTTTTATTTACGAGATGATGCTGAGATCACATGTTACTGGCTTTGACGAATAATGACGAAAACATCTGTCATTACAAACACAAATGAAATGGTGGGGTGTAACTGATCTATATAGATTATATTCTTCTAGTTAGTCTTGGAATACATATGTTGTCTTAAATGTCGAGAGCAAGCATGCCACAAAAAATAAGATGTTAATTATAAAACTTTAGCAAGAAATGCCATGTTTTGAACAAAATAACACTTAAATAGATATAAGAAGATGTGGTATGAGTACCAATGAGACAACACTCCATCCAAGTCACAATTTGTAAAAGTAAACCATTATAAGTCAAAGTACGGCCTCCGACACGGAGCCTAGGCTCACATCGAACAGCAAGCTATAATTTAAAGGGCCCCAAAAATGACTAGTGTAAAACCATTCAAATTTGATTATAATAAGACGACAGAGAAAACTTGACATTATCGTAGATTATTGACTGATTTTGGAAAAGGAGGATATGCCGATGAAATTTTTTAATGATTCACATGTTTATAGTTTGTTCAATAACAATTTCCTACTTAACTTTATTTCTTAGAGCGTATATGTAGATATTTATATAAATTTTTTTTTTACGTTTTCGTATCAAATAAAGCCGATTTAGATGAGATAATCATACGTGACCGTTTGTATACACATCCTCCTAGGGGAAATACGCAAATGACTAATTTGTCCTCGGTCAATTTCTGTGTGTAGTGTGTACTTAAATGAAATACATAAATTTCCCGATACAAACCTTTAATTTGTCACGAAAGATTTTAACAACAAAGGATGTTGTACTTATTTCAGGAAGATCGGTGTAATATCATTATTATTGATCTAATAATATCAAAGGCATTATTCAAATAAAAGGATAACAATTCGAATCAACCTCCAATGTTTAACCTACTTTCATCTCAATTTCTTATTTTGAAATGTTTCGGTCACTTAGAGCGCACTTATTATCATCGAAAAACAACAATAGTCAATCGTTTATTTACTTAATATTATCAAAAAACAACAATAGTCAATCGTCTATTTACTTAATATTATCGAAAAACATCAATAGTCAATCGTTTATTCACTTAATATTATCGAAAAATAACAATAGACAATAGTTTATTTACTTAATATTATCGAAAAACAACAATAGTCAATCGTTTATTTACTTAATATTATCGAAAAACAAACAATAGTCAATCGTTTATTTACTTAATATTATCGAAAAACAACAATAGTCAATCGTTTATTTACTTAACATTATCGAAAAACAACAATATTCAATCGTTTATTTACTTAATATTATCGAAAAACAACAATAGTCAATCGTTTATTTACTTAATATTATCGAAAAACAACAATAGCCAATCGTTTATTTCGTAAATCAACCGGAAAATTCTTACATCTTTACCCAAATAACTATTCGGTAATTTCTTTCGACCAGGAGTAGTATTAGTCTAAGGTAAATAAGCCAAATATAATTTACAATGCTGACATGAATTATCATTGATATGGTAATGTTAATAAATAAACTGTTTACAAAACCTTGATTAAGTATTGTTCGAAAAACTAAGGATTTTCTACCCCAGGAATGGACCTTAGCTGTATTTGGCAAACCCTTTTGGAATTTATTCGTACTTTGGCCTTTTAACTTTTTGATTGAAACTTTCGTCTAGCGTACACAATTATAAGTTTGGTATCTTGGATGATGTTTCTTTACAGACGTTTCAGCGATAAATGCTTATTTCTGGATTATCTATCCGTTATCTGCAACACTCGGGACAAAAAGGGAGGAACCATTCGGAACCATGTAAGTAAAAGGAGCCCACCGAACAGAAGACATCCAAAACCATTTAAGATAAATACACATAAGAAGATGTGGTATGAGTGCCAATGAGACACCTCTCCATCCAAGTCACAAGTTGTAAAACTAAACCATTATAGGTCAAAGTACGGCCTTCAACACGGAGTATTGGCTCACACCGAACAGCAAGCTATAAAGGGCCCCAAAAATGATTAGTGTAAAACCATTCAAACAGGAAAACCAACAGTCTAATCTATATAAAAAACGAGAAACGATAAACACTTATGAACCAATTCAACAAACGACAACCACTGAACAACAGGTTCCTGACTTAGGACAGGTGCAAACAAATGCAGCGGGTTTAAACGTTTTAACAGGCGCCAACCTTCACTACTTCATTATAAATTTTGAATATCGGGGTGCTTCATTTAAAAGAAAAAACAACCTATCAGAGGCTCTAAAGAGCCTGTGTCGCTCACCTTGGTCTATGTGCATATTTAACAAAGGACACTCTCCAACAATGTAGACAAGAATAGAATTCATGACAAAAACCTCTGTTTTGTTGATCTTGTATTACTGATTATTTAGATTTTGCTCAAAACACAAAAGAGGGTGAAAAAATTCCTGATTTAAGGGCAATAACTCATATAAAGAGTGACAGTCTACTAACTATATCTGCAAAATTTGACGTGTTAGTAGATCTTGCCTTCCTGATCATTTTTGTGATTTAAAGTGTCTATTTATCTATTATAATTTTTATCAAATAAAGAAAAAACGCAAAAAAAAATGGTAAACATCGTCATTAAAGGGCAATAACTCCAATAAGGAGTCGTCAGACGATTTCCTCCAAATTGTCTTAATTGTAGATCTTGTCCTGCTGGTCATTTTTGCTTATTTACGTTTCTATCTATCTATTATAATTTTTAAGATATAAGGCAAAAACGCAAAAAATTGGTAAAAATCGTCATCAAGGGGCAATAACTCTAATAAGGAGTCGACTGACGATTTCGAACATTAAACTTATTTGTAGAACTTGTCTTGCTGATCATTTTCGCAATTTAAAGTTTCTCTCTATCTATCATAGTTTTCAAGATAATAAGCAAAAAGGAAAAAAAATGGTAAAATTTGTCATTCAATGGCAATAACTCCTATAAGAAGTTGTCTGACAGTTTTGACGTATATGGACAATTGGTAGAGCTCATCATTCTGAACATTTATGCTCCTGTCAGATTTTATCTATTTATAACAGTTTTCAAAATAATAGACAAAACTTGCATTTTACCCCTATGTTCTATTTTTAGCCATGTCGGTCATCTTGGTTAGCAAGCGGGGTCATCGGACACATTTTTTAACTGGATACCCCAATGATGTTTGTGGCCAAGTTTGGTTATATTTGGCCCAGTAGTTTCAGAGGAGAAGATTTTTGTAAAAGTTAACGACGACGGACGACGGACTCCAAGTGATGAGAAAAGCTCACTTGGCCCTTCGGGCCAGGTGAGCTAAAAAGCAAAAAAGTTGATTTGTAAATCCCTTTTACATGTTTTGATGTATATTCCCGAAGGAAAAATGCATTAAATTATATCACATTTTTAGGCAATTTGCCTAAAAAATGTGTTTTCCTCGAGTCGTATGTGTTTTTCAACACGGGGAATTTCTTTACACGATAACAGGTTTAAAGATTAAGGACTTTATTTTTATAATTAGTATACGTAATCATATTTGTCAATGTTTTGTCCTGTTTCAACTTTAATTGTAATACATATAACATGACTATAATAAGACAATCGGTTTTCAATTTATTGTAACAATATAGGCTGATTATCATGAGACGGACTTCCGGTGTACAAGGAATGGGATAATGTTAGGGTAACTTTTCTCATTATTAAAACAGAAATATCCCTTTTTGACAGCAGATAAAATTATGTAATCATACGAACATTTATATTATTTGGAAATCTTCGATTTCCTCTTTTTGGTTTGTTAATGATGATTCAAGGGATGTGTTTTAGAGGCCAAGGATGGGTACGATATATCAATCGTTTTGAGTTTTCTATTTTACACTGACATTATTTGTTTATTGATGTTATATTAATATATTTGTAAACGACTTATACTAATATACCTGAAGATCCTCTGACCTTCTGGTACTAATGCAACGGGGATCTTCACTAAGATAGTTGTGTCAGTGGAGTAATTGTTAACAACATGTACATTATTATTGTTGAATAAAAAAAAAAAATTCCCAAACTCTTTCTTTTTTTTACAATGTGTTAACCATTCATTTGGTTCACAGTTTTCTTACTACACTGAAGGAGATTAAGTAAGTTAGAGTCTGATAATATAGATATTTTTGTATTGTTGAAGACGTACCGCATGTTGAACCCTACACTCTGGTTAGTGTAATTTTGTGTTTTGGTGTAGCTGTCTCGTTGATCTGTCCTCTAAACGAGGGTCTGGGTGGGATTTACAGAATAGAGAATATTAACCAAGAGTACAGAAAAAATAAGCCAAAAATAAGGAATAGAGAAAAATTTGGAGATAAGATATAAAGAATTATAGAGAATAATGGGCAAAATAAATTAAAAAAAGAAAGAAAAAGTGTCTTAGCAATTAAAGAATACAGAAATGAAAGACCCCCCACCCCCCAAAAAAATCCAGACCCTCCTATATATATTTTTATATACATCAAGTAAAAATAGCAGAGAAGATATCAAGGAGTTTTCTGACAAACCTACGTAAATACAGATATTGACAACTGTAATTATGTACACATTTTAACAACATTTTGATGTCTTATTTACAGTTTTATGATGACATTTGACAACATACATGTACATGTATTCATATCTCATATTTATTGTATATCAATATTTGATCAAAATACATATTTATACCTGCACGGAATAAACATGTATTGACAGTACATACAATTGTCCTTATGACCAATTTGTCGTAAATCAGTGTTTTCTTCCATTCAAACTTGTCAAAAAAGCTGAAAGATTTACATGTTAAAAAGCTTCGAGCCGAAATATACATGCTATTTATTCGTGTGACAAAACAATGAACATTTGTAAAAGCAGTTTAAATGATAAAATAACAGAAAGTAATAATTTTAAAGATAGTAATCTTTATGACATTTAAAGGAAAATATAAAGAACATTTTATCAAATGACTTGCCGAAAAAGGTTATTAACACCGTCAGATTTTAAGATTAGAAACAGTTAAGAAAATGCTCTTGTGTGTATTTTTTTGTCCTTTACAACTATCCAACTTTTCTTTTTTGATAATTATTTTAATACAGGTCATTCTTATTGAATCCATTAATTTTATAGCACAATGTTGAGTTCGAGGCGAACATCCATACAACGGCAATAGTATTTGGTATACATAGTCGCAGGGTGAATACATATATCGAACATCCATTCAACGGCAATAGTATTTTGTATTTATAGTCGCAGGGTGAATACATATAGTACATTACATCGATAGTAATCTTGAATAATGGAAACTTCCTTTCAAATTATATGTAGATCAATAGTTTCACTTTAATGTTAATATAGAAATTAACTTGTGTTGCAATATAGACAAGTAATGTACATTCAGTTTTCAGTCGAAGTGGCGCGTCATGGGGGTGGGGGAAGGGGGTGGAGTTGTTGATAAGCTTCGTCCTCCATGCAGATTGCAGATCTATTTTTGAATATAATCTATATAGAAATGTATACATATTGCGGTGTACATCCCCCTTTTTTGACAACCTTGATAATCCACCATCAGTTAATTGTAATTAAATTATATTCGCGATCTCGTTGACTTGTAAACAGTATTAAGTCTTTCTTTTTAATCTTAAATTAATAGTTTTATTGATCAGTTTTGAATAATCTGTTTTATTGTGGAAAATAATAGAATTCTTTACGTATTCATCATTTACACTGATTCATCTGTGATTCAAAAATGCCAATACAACGATTGAAGTGAAATATTCATATATGCTATAAAAAGGGGGGCGTCCTTGACATTAATTTAGAACATGTACAAATTACGACAGACATAAAGTGAGGAATTTGATGACCTATTTTATTTCTCAATGCATTTACAAATCGTGTTCTAAAGATCCATACAATTACTGTTACAGATGACTGAAAACCTACAACATTACACATGTAAATTTCCTTGTAAATCGAATTTCAGGTCACTTCCAAATGTCTGCGAGGGTTTTTGCAATTAGTTTAAAAACAGATAACGTTACTGTAAGTGTTACATTATTATACACGTGAAGTAATGTGAAAGTTAAAACATATTTTATTGGTACGAATCAGTTTTAATGCAAAGTGTGCTCGTGTTGGGTGATAATCAGATTTGCTGACAGTTAAAAAAAACATCACAGTGACTACAATGTTTATAATCTGGGACATAATATATTGTCAGTATACTATTCCCGAGTTAAATCATCACTCTAACCAACACTACATATATACATACGTAAAATGTAAGTAGTCCGGGAAGTGATGATATTTCACACGATCATGTATCAGATGAATATTTTCAATACTAATTTTACAATATGTTACTTCCATACATCAAGTACATGTAAGCTAATTTACTAATAAAACCATATATGTGTACAAATGATGTTTGCATAGATTTAGAACATTTTACTTTTTTCGTTTACATACACGAATGATCCATAGTTATATTTCGTTTACTTTTATCATATGTCATCAATAGCGATACACATGATAGTTAACAATAATTACATTTCATTAGATAATTCATAAGTTGTCGTTTGTTATGCTGAGCTAAATTATCATACTTAAAAAATCAATCAATTTCCTTACCCTGTTTATCTGCGAGATCTAAATTCCCATTTGTAGTTGACATTTTTCCTATGATGTTGTTTAATGTGTATCGTATAATGATGAAATCTACAACTTCCTAGTCTCTTTGTCACGTGATATGACCTTAAGACGATTTCACGCATACATGGTTACTAAAACATTTATTTTGATATATAGCGGACAATAATAAAATCTTCCGGATTAATTTCCATTTCAAAATTTCAAGGTGACGACTTCCTTCAATGTAATTTTAATTCAATCCGTTTAAAAATAACTATAAGGAAGACTTTGCTACTGAATATATGTATCGATTGGAAAGTTTTTTTTTATTGGATAATCTTAACACATTGATTGTTCCTTTTATAATTACTGCTACTAACGTATTTCTTTTATTATCTTCCCATTGATTCTCGTTTCTCCTTAATGTCTCGCTCTCCCTATAGATTCGCTCGCACAAAAGTAAAATTATTAAGTAGGTTCAGCTTTTCCTCTGCTTACCTGTATTTTGTGACATATTTGTTATTATAGTTAGGCTGCTGGTCCAGATTAAAAAGAGGAAGGATGAAAATAATAAATAGAAAACGAAATGTAAGGTTAACACATGTGCATTTACCTATCCGCATCAGTTAATGTTGTCTTAAGATATACTAGTATATTATTATTATTATTCGGAGAAATTGATGTTTATGTCAGCTCTTCGAAGGTACAAATGTATCTGTTTTATTCATTACATTTTTTTTTGCTTTGGGGTCGATTTAGAGCTTGGTATATTGTTGAATAATGTATAGTACATGACCTCTACATATCGTTGGTTACTTGTGTCATTGTGCTGCTTTCATCAAAGTATACCCCCCGCATCTTCTGTTAATCATAATATGGTATTTTCAATTTGAAAATAAGTCCATAAAATTAACAGGTGCAAATAATGATAACATAAATCACAAGTTGATCGCGAAGAATGACAGGCAACAAAAAAATCACCCCCCCCCCCCCCAAAAAAAAAACAAAACAAAACAAAACAAACAAAAACAAACAAATGAAAATAAGAAACAAAATGCAAACAACAGCCGAATAACGCAATTAGGTTAAAGGTTATGATCTGTCATACCTAGTCATTACTTGCGGATTGTAGAGCTAATCTTAAACATGACCCTATTTATATATATATACTATTATTTTAAAATTGCAATGTTGGAAGCTTTAGGACACGTTCTTCGGCAAAGTGCGAATATAACAAAGGGACAACTATTTGAACCCCCAAATAGAAGGGAAATAGACAGTAATTGAGTAAATAACAATTAAGGGAAATAAACAAACAGTCATAAGATATTTCACAGAAAAAACACTGAGCAACACAACAAAAACAGGCTGGGAGATTTGGATAACACCGATGGGGAACAAGTTTAACACTTGGAACCTTTTAGACACACTTGAAACCTGGTGAGTGGCAGGGCGAATTCTGGTTTCCGTATATTGTTGTCTTCGCAAATTCTCTTTAGAGGTTAGAGATATCTTTGCCATAAATTTCATTTATTTCTATCGAACCAAAATGTTTTCTTGTCATTGATAACTATTTTCGTCATTTATATAAAGTTATAAAGTTTTAAGATACACATTAAATTGTATGCACCACACTCTAAATAGTTTCTCTTCCGTGGTATTCAAAACAAAATGTTTTAATTTTCATTTGAAGTATCAAACTTTCATCAGCAATAATATCAAAATATCGTCAAACAGCTACATGTAAGGAACATTTACAGGTACATCGAGAAGATAACTTTAGAATCAATTAAATTCTTCACATCTTTGTCTACCGAAAAATATATCATCAACATCATTGCAATTAATATCGATATGATACAAGAGGGTCTGGATGGGGGTTAACATAATACAGAATAATGGGCATTAAACCAAGAATAGAGAAAAATGGACACAAAAAAAAAGAATAGAGAACAACGGTGTGCTAAAGTATAAAGAATATAAAAAAATGGACCAAAATATAAAGAATAGAGAAAAATGACCTAAAATATTAAAGAATACAGAAACGAAGGACCCCCCTCTCCCCCCATCCCAGCAGACCCTTATACAAAGGAGCTGGCTCCTGAACATGTAATACTCCTGATTACTTGGAGTCAAATTGTGGAAGCAATCTGATGACAATAGTCCTAGATAATTACTCACATCTGCTACGACCATTCTAGGATACGTCTCAGTCCTAATAAGGAATTGTATATTTAAATTTAAATATACAATTCCTTGGTCCTAACATACGTTCGAAAAAGTAGATCATGGTTTATAGAAACTTTGTAGTTGACGTATACAATATCTCAGTTTATTTCCCTGCTCTGTTGATCAACAAGGAAAAAGGATACAGCGAAATTTCATTTTCATTTAATTACGTGAAGAAAATGGAAATCAACATTGTATATATATATATATATATCTGAATAATAAACGGTCATTTCAATTTTTTTTAATAATATAACGATAAATAAATAAATGTGGTTTCTGGGGATAATTGTTTGTCTTTTTTGAATATTATCTTGGTATTTTCCGCCTCATTTTTAAAAACAGTTTAAAGAGGACCTTAGTCAAGTATTATATAGACTGAATGGAGTTAAAACAGGTGGATCATACGTTAATGTAAAATATTTTAAAATAATATGAACGAAAGTGCCGTTCACGTTGAAATATACCTAAATCGTGTAAAAATTGAAAAGTCCTTGTGCATTATGAGAAATGAAATGGTAGGATAAGGAAAACAGGAAGAAACAAAAATTAAGAGGTCAATTTACTTACAAACAACATACCGTATGTATAAATGATAGATGAAAAAAGAAGATAATCGACACTCAAATATCGTCTTGTACAACAGTCTGAACAATTTGTCAAACCCCGAGTGATGAAAAATATAAATCAGGGTTCACACAAATAAACATTTTACAAACATAACCTAATTTGAAAAAAGTAATCATGAAAAGATTTCATGGACAACCACTTACACAATCCTGACTGACGACAGCCGTCCTCTGGTTTCATGGACAACCACTTACACAATCCTGACTGACGACAGCCGTCCTCTGGTTTCATGGACAACCACTTACACAATCCTGACTGACGACAGCCGTCCTCTGGTTTTATGGACAACCACTTACACAATCCTGACTGACGACAGCCGTCCTCTGTATTCATGGACAACCACTTACACAATCCTGACTGACGACAGCCATCCTCTGGTTTTATGGACAACCACTTACACAATCCTGACTGACGACAGCCGTCCTCTGGTTTCATGGACAACCACTTACACAATCCCGACTGACGACAGCCGTCCTCTGGTGTTAGATTGTTTCTGTTAAATTATCTGACTCAGCACGATTTATTTATTGTACTGAATATTGTTGAAGACTGTTTGTTGTCCTATATATGTCTTTTAGTTGTTGTTGTCGTTGGGTTGCTGTTTCAATAGAAAATTGTTGAAGACTGTTTGTTGTTCTATAGATGTCTATTGGTTGTGTTTGTCGTTGGGTTGCTGTTTCAATAGAACATTGTTGAGACTGTTTGTTGTTCTATAGATGTCTATTGGTTGTTGTTGTCGTTGGGTTGCTGTTTCAATAGAAAATTGTTGAAGACTGTTCGTTGTCCTATAGATGTGTATTGTTTGTTTTTGTCGTTGGTTTGCTGTTTCAATAGAATATTGTTGAAGACTGTTTGTTGTCCTATAGATTTTTACTGGTTATTTTTGTCCTTGGGTTTGCCGTTTTCTTGAAGTATACTCCTATCAGAGCTCATTGATAAACATATGATTGAATTAAACTTATATCTGTTGTAACGAGGTCATGTTCCATCCGGTGAGTGTATATGTTACTATTTATATATTTTTTCACCTACATAAATTAAGTTTCACTTCGATTGTAGAATGTTGTCTTCAGTTCTATCTGCGTTGAACATACAGACATTTCTGATTGGAATAGCAGTTTTACTTACTGTTTACAAGCTTCGTCAAAGATGGAAATATAAATTACCACCAGGGCCATTCGCCTGGCCTCTGATCGGAAATTATGAAGGTATAGTTTAATTTTTTTACACAAGGTTTATTTCACAAAAGAAACTTAGTCCAAATTTGATTTTTTTATTTAACTGTTTATAAGTTTTCCGGACCATTGTCGTCTGGTTTGGTATTGGTATTATTTAAATGATATTTATAGTGTTAATTTACAGTTCATAAACTTAATATGTTATTTGGCTAACACAAAGGCTGCTCAAAGTTGACCTTGACCGGCTTTGATTGGCTGTTAAATTTGACATGTTGGTTTTATATAGTTGCGTAGGTGATGGAGGATAGTTTCGAAATACAATGTACATGTAGTGTTCTCCAAAAAGTAATGTAAAATAAATCCAGATGCATGATTTTGATATCGATACATGAATAATTTATACTTTGAATTAGCTAGTGTTTATCAATAAAATTCTATGGACACCAACTATGCACCTCTTCTCAACGACTTGTTCCTGTATCCGTGTGAGGCCGACTACATACAATGACTTCTTAAGATGACTAAAACCAAAACTTAATTAAAAACATGATATACTTTGTGACGTCATCTAATGAATTTCATGATATTGTTAAAGTTTTTAAAAATTGGTTATTTATGATCGATTATTTGAAAAAAAAAAATTTCAAATACATAAGATGTACACCAAAAAAAAACCAACAAAAAAACCAATTGAAATAACAACTAATATGTGGTTATTGGCCAAGAGACAATATGATATCTTTAAAATTCCAACACAATTAAATGATCGAAAAAAAAGAGAATATAAGGCACTGACTATTTTGATACAAATATGCCCGGAAATTAATAATATGACAAGCGTAGCCTTAGTATGAGGTCAAAACAGGATATATCGACCCAAAGAAGTATATCGACCTCGGACTTCGTCCTCAGTCAATATACTTCTTTCAGGTCAATACATCCTTGTATCGACCTCATACATAGGCTATAATTGTATAATATTGCAAAATATTGAAAATTTGAATTAATTATTGAAGGGTTATGATGACTACTGCACAAGGCATAGGTGTACATACATTTTTATTATTTTCTTTCGGCTTGTGACACTTTTACAGTAGTCTAATCGCCCGTTTTTCTCGACCCAGTCAACGCTAGATGAAAACGCTCTGTTGATTTTAGTCGATCATTGAGTTAAATAAAATTCCAACAAACTTTATGTGTTAGTTGCACCGTTTTCTGGATCAACCTTTACAGAGTTCAGAGTTCGAAAATATTATTTATTATTGAAAAAAACAAATGGAGGTGTGGAATACAGGCCAAACAGACAGCAACCCAACGAAACCCTTTGAAAGAAATAACCGACGAATATACCGATTTTGGTATGTCAAGTTGCATTTGCATGTCTCTGCATGGTTGACCTTAGCTGCGGAACCGTAGCTCTTATGTCCTTATGATATGTTTTGACAATTTTCGCGGGGTCCGCAGGAGCCGTAGCTATGTTGACCTATGACTTATGTTAAGTTTTTCACTTTTTCATCTGAAAATCTTTTCCCATTACATAAAAGTTCATCTGCAATATATAAGGGTAAGACGTCAGAGCAATAATTAATCTCGGACTTATGTTTATGGTTGATAAAGCAATATTGTACATGTCTTGTAAATTTTCTTTGAAATGTAATGTTTAATTGATTTTTTGTTTACGTTAGAACTGAATTTAGTTTATTTTTATTCAGTTATGCAAGCTAAGTTTCTTCACGAAATATGTGCAAAGTACACAAAGAAATATGGACCTGTTTTCACAATAAAACTTGGTAAGTAAGAAGAAATTGTAGTTAAATCTAGTTAAAAAAAAATAAGACAAAAAGTCTACTAACACTAAAAGAAAATCAAAGATTGATCAACAGGAACCCCACCTAAACAGAAGGTGAACTCAAGAGCTCTAGTATATAGGGTCATCTGTTCTTGATCCACTTATACATGTTATAATAGATATTCAAACAAAAACAAAAAATCATTTCAGATATTTGCGACTTAAAGCACTGTAGAAACAATTCCATTTTATTGCCAAACTAAGCTATATATTCCTAATTCAGTTTTGAAATTTTGAAGAAATTGATTTGTGTAACCGTAAGTTGTTATCTTTATTTTTTGCAGGACCTTTTAAGATGGTTATCTTAAATGATATCAACAGCGTTACTGAGGCTTTAGTCAAGAGGAAAGCAGACTTCGCAAATAGACCGTTTATGAAATCGGGTATGCATAAACTAATTGCGGTTTATAACCTTGAAATAAAATTAATGTATTAAAACTTTCCAGCACTTTAAGCAACCCTATAAATAAGAAACAAAATAGCTTATTTTTCTTTTGACAAATCAGCAACATGAATCAATATTCGTTGAACATTTAAGTATAAAATAAAATTGAGAATGGAAATGGGGAATATGTCAAAGAGAACAACAACCCGACCAAAGAGCAGACAACAGCCCAATGCCATTAATGGGTCTTCAACGCAGCGAAAAAATCCCGCACCCAGAGGTGGTCCTCAGCTGGCCCCTAAATAAAAATGTGTATTAGTTCAGTGAAAATGGACGTCACACTAAACTCTTAAACATATAAATGAACTAAAATTAAAAAACATACAAGACTTACAAAGGTCAGAGGCTCCTGACTTGGGACAGGCGCAAAAATGCGGCGGGGTTAAACATGTTTTGTGAGATCTCAACACTCCCCCTATACCTCTAGTCAATGTAGAAAAAAGAAACACATAGAAATACGCACAGTAAAACTCAGTTTAAAAGAAGTACCCATTAAACCTAAATTGTACATTCCTCCTATTTCAGAGTCTTGTGAAAAAGGGTAATTAAATAGCGCTAAGCTAAAGAAATGACAACTAATCAATACCAAATTATAGAAGGGGGAAACTGATCAATGCCAAGTAAGAGAAAGGTGGAAACTGGTCAATGCCGAGTTAGAAAATGAGGTAACTGATCAAGGCCATGTAAAAAGGGGGTAATTGATCAATGCCAAGTTAGAGAAGCAGGAACCTCATCAATACCAACTAAAAAAAAGGGATAGATGATCAATGAAAAATGAGAGAAAAATGTAACTGATATGAGAAGGAGGTAGCTGGTCAATTCCAAATTCCAAATTTGAGAAGGAGGTCACTGATCAATGCCAAGTTAGAGAAGGAGGTAACTGAACAAAACCAAGTAAAAAAGGAGTAACTGATCAATGCCGAATTAGACAAGGAGGTAACTGATCAATGCTAAATTAGAGAAGGAGGTCACTGATCAATGCCAAATTAGAGAAGGAGGTCACTGATCAATGCCAAATTAGAGAAGGAGGTAACTGATCAATGCCAAATAAGAGAAGGAGGTAACTGATCAATGCAAAATTAGACAAGGCGGCAACTGATCAATGCCGAATTAAAGAAGAGTGGAATTGATCAATGCCAAATTAGACAAGGATGTAACTAATCATTGCCAAGTAAGAGTAGGAGGTAATTGACCAATGCCAAGTAAAAACGGGGGTAAATGATCAATGACAAGTTAGAGAAGGAGGAATATGATCAATGCCAAGTTAGAGAAGGAGGTGACTGATCGATGCCAAATTAGAGAAGGAGGTGAATGGTCAATGCCTAATAAGAGAAGGAGGAAACTGATCAATGCCAAATAAAAGAAAGAGGTAACTGTTTAATGCCAAATAAGAGAAGGAGGTGACTGATCGATGCCAAATTAGAGAAGGAGTTGAATGGTCAATGCCTAATAAGTGAAGAAGGTAACTGATCAATGCCAAAATAAGAGAAGGAGGTGATTGATCGATGCCAAATAAGAGAAGGAGGTGAATGGTCAATGCCTAATAAGAGAAGGAGGTAACTGTTCAATGCCAAATAAGAGAAGGAGGTAACTGATCAATGCCAAGTAAGAGAAGGAGGTAACTGATCAATGCCAAAATAAGGGAAGGAGGTAACTGATCAATGCCGAATTAAAGAAGAGTGGAATTGATTAATGCCAAATTTGAGAAGGAGGTAACTGATCATTGCCAAGTTAGAGTAGGAGGTAATTAACCAATGCCAAGTAAAAAGGGGGTAAATGATCAATGCCAAATTAGAGAAGGAGGTAACTGAAGAAGGCCAATTAAAAAAACGGAGAGAGAGAGATGTATTATTCTCTTACTTTGTATCAATTTTTATCAATTTTTACTTGCAGTTGACGTGTTCACAGAGGGAGGAAAGGATATTGCTTTTGCTAATTATACACCAACATGGAAACTTCATAGGAAAATTGCTGGAAAAGCATTAAGGTATTAATTCTTCTTCACCTTTCTGAACGAATGAAATGGAATGTAGTAAAAAGTCAATTACGCCCTGATCATATTTTTTAACATGAAAATCATTACTTATAAACAAGATAGCAATGAACATTTAATTCAGTGGGAATTTTAATAGCCCATTGTTATAACAAAAATACAACGGACATCAATTTTTTGGGTAAAATGTTGAACAAAATTTCAAATGAATAACAAACACAAAAAACAACACAAAAAAACACAAAAAAAGGAAGAAAAATACTTTAAAAAATTGCCTTCGTAAGAGATACCAGATTAACAGGTCGCTGTACATACGAACTTCAACAATGAACAAAACCCATAACGGGTTATAAAAGGTAGAAGATGTGGTTGGATTGCAACGAGATAATTATCAATAAAATTCAAACGACAAAGATGCGAAAATTTACAGGTTGCTGTACAGACGGCCTTCAACAATATGCAAAACCCATAACGGGTTATAAAAGGTAAAATATGTGGTTTGATTGCAATGAGATAATTATCTATAAAATTCAGAGTACAAAAATGTGAAAATTTACAGGTCACTGTACATACGGCCTTTAACAATGAACAAAACCCATAACGGGTTATAAAAGGTAGAAGATGTGGTTGGATTGCAACCAGATAATTATCAATAAAATTCAAACGACAAAGATGCGAAAATTTACAGGTTGCTGTACATACGGCCTTCAACAATATGCAAAACCCATAACGGGTTATAAAAGGTAAAATATCATGTGGTTTGATTGCAATGAGATAATTATCTATAAAATTCAGAGTACAAAAATGTGAAAATTTACAGGTCACTGTACATACGGCCTTTAACAATGAGCAAAACCCATAACGGGTTACAAAAGGTAAAAATTTCGAAACATTTTTCAAGAAAAATTCACCGGCCTGATTCAGACTTCAACAATGAACAGAAAAAAATATAGCAGACAGCAACCAACGACAATCCGTGGAATATCAAGTTCCTGATTTTGAACAATTTCATAGAGAATGTTGTGTTGCTTGAACTGGTTTTGATTGGGACTGAAGGCTACATATGCGGCGGAAGGATAGGTCATTAGGTCAGCTGGAAAAAAAATAGGTCATATTTAGTATAGTCCCGAAACTCGAAATTTGTGTTTGGGGTTTTATAAAGACTAGTTATCATACAAAATCATTAACGGCAATGCAATGGAACATTTTATGTAAGGCTTTATCACAACAAGAAAACATACCTCATGTTTGTATTAAGTGATTTTTTTAGTTGTCACATTGTTGAATACATAAAATATTCCTTTACTCAAATTCAACTTACAATGATGTCGGATCAAAATATCTTATATCTTCGCTTTTATAGTTCGTAAGACAAAATATAGGAAACCATTGAGTTGATATATTTTATAGGCAATATTTAGCAGGTAATCGGTTAGAAGAAGTTGTTCACAGTTCAATGAACAAATGCTTATCTCTTATGGCTAAAGAAAATGAACCATTTGATCCAGAGAATTACATTGATTTAATGGTGTTTAATATTCTTCATGCAGTTTGCTTTGGAAAAAGGTAATTGTGTTAAGAGCATTTATATGTAAGAGTTAGACAAATTAATTAGTTGATTTAACGACAACATGACTATGTTATCGAATTAGACTATTTCATTCATGTCAAGTGTACAAAGTAGTACCAATATTGTCGACATCGCAAAGTAGACAATGTCGACACAAAATTGTACAACGTTGTCGATATCGTTTCATACTCTTGTCTACATCGTTGACATTGACGATATCGCAAAGTAGACAATGTCGACACGATATTGTACAACGTTGTCGATATCGTTTCATACTTTTGTCTACATGGTTGACATTGACGAAATCGCAAAGTAGACAATGTCGACACGATGTTGTACAACGTTGTCGATATCGTTTCATACTCCTGTCTACATCGTTGTCATTGACGATATCGCGAAGTAGACAATGTTGACACGATATTGTACAACGTTGTCGATATCGTTTCATACTCCTGTCTACATCGTTGACATTGACGATATCGCGAAGTAGACAATGTCAACACGATAGCGTACAACGTTGTCGATATCGTTTCATACTCTTGTCTACATCGTTGACATTGCCGATATCGCTAACACATTACTCGTGTTTACATTGTTAATTTTGAATACAACGATGTCGACATGGTGTTGTACTACTTTGTCGATATCCTTTCATCATCTTGTCTCTGCATGTTTGGCATTGCCGACATTGCGAAAAAGATGGGTCTAGAGTTATAGTTTCATAAACTAAATAGACAAAATACGAAGTCGTACAATGCCAATTATGAAACATATACTGAGTGTATCGTATAACTAACACAGTAATATCGGCCTTGTCAAAAATGTAGACAGCAAGTAGGACGATGTAGAAGATGTTGTAACAATGTTGTCAACTTCGCGATGTCGGCAATGTCAACGATGTTGACAGAGAAGGGGGACGATGTAGACGATATCGTCACGATGTTGTCAAAATTGCGATGACGTCGATGTCAACGATGTAGACAGCAAGAAAAACGACGTAGACGATGTCGTCACGATGTTGTCAACATCACGATGTCGGCGATGTCAATGATGTAGACAGGAAAGGGGGACGATGAAGACGATGTCGTCACGATGTTGGCGATGTCAACGATGTAGACAGGAAAGGGGGACGATGTAGACGATGTAGTCACGATGTCAGCGATGTCAACGATGTAGACAGGAAAGGGAGACGATGTAGACGATGTCGTCATGACGTTGTCAACATCACGATGTCGGCGATGTCAATGATGTAGACAGGAAAGGGAGACGATGTAGACGATGTCGTCACGATGGTTTGTCAACATTACGATGTCGGCGATGTCAACGATGTAGACAGGAAAGCGGGACGATGTAGACGATGTCGTCACGATGTTGGCGATGACAACGATTTAGACAGGAAAGGGGTCGATGTAGACAATGTTGCGAGCAGGTATAAAATCATGAACGGAGTTGACAATATCGGCGATATCGTCACTACATCGTGCACTGGACATACCTCGACTATTTACCGGATTTGTAATAACATAAGCAACACGACGGGTGCCACATGTGGAGCAGGATCTGCTTACCCTTCCGGGGCACCTGAGATCACCCCCAGTTTTTGGTGGGGTTCGTGTTGCTTAGTCTTTGGTTTTCTATGTTGTGTCATCTGTACTATTATTTGTCTGTTTGTCTTTTTATTTTTGGCCATGGCGTTGTCAGTTTGTTTTCGATCTATGAGTTTGACTGTCCCTCTGGTATCTTTCGTCCCTCTTTTATCCATTCCAAACAAAAAATTGAGAATAAATAAAATCCCAAACTATGAATAAAATTAAAGATCGTTTTCCAAAGATGACGAAAATATAAATATCCAATTAAAATCATACCAATTATTTCCATTGAGTTATTAGAGGGATAAAACGATCCATTATTTGACCTCATTAGACCTATTTACGCTGTGACCTCTATGACCGGCGTGCGCACTTTCATGGTAATCTCAGCATATAGGTTCATTGAAACTGTTATATATTATATACCGCAATGACACCTTCTGTTTATGGATTTTTGTGTAAATTCCAAAGGATAAATGATAATCCCTCCTCAGACAATAGTCAGTACAAAAAGACATATGTGTTTAAATGGTGATTGCTTGACTTGTTATTAGGCTCCTCGGTTGCAGAGTGCGTCGTAAATATCTGTTTAAGTGGTGATTGCCTGACTTGTTATTATGGTCCTCGGTTGCAGAGTCGGTCAGTACATATGTGTTTAAGTGGTGATTGCTTGACTTGTTATTAGGGTCCTCGGTTGCAGAGTGAGTCAGTACATATGTATTTAAGTGGTGATTGCTTTGCTTGCTATTTAGGTCCTCGGTTGCAGAGTGAGTCAGTACATATGTGTTTAAGGGGTGATTGCTTGGCTTGTTATTAGGGTCCTCGGTTGCAGAGTGAGTCAGTACATATGTATTTAAGTGGTGATTGCTTGAAATGTTATTAGGGTCCTCGGTTGCAGAGTGAGTCGGTACATATGTGTTTAAGTGGTGATTGCTTGGATCACATATGTGTTTAAGTGTTGTTATTATTGCTTGCTATTTAGGTCCTCGGTTGCAGAGTGAGTCAGTACATATGTGTTTAAGGGGTGATTGCTTGGCTTGTTATTAGGGTCCTCGGTTGCAGAGTGAATCAGTACATATGTATTTAGGTGGCTGTTGCTTGACTTGTTATTAGGGTCCTCGGTTGCAGAGTGAGTCAGTACATATGTGTTTAAGTGGTGATTGCTTGGATTGTTATTAGGGTCCTCGGTTAAAGAGGGAGTCAGTACATATGTGTTTAAGTGGTGATTGCTTGGATTGTTATTATGGTCCTCGGTTGAATAGGGAGTCAGTACATATGTGTTTAAGTGGTGATTGTTTGACTTGTTATAAGGGTCCTCGGTTGCAGAGTGAGTCAGTACATATGTATTTAAGTGGTTATTGCTTGACTTGTAATTAAGGTCCTCGGTTGCAGAGTGAGTCAGTTCATATGTATTTAAGTTGTGATTGCTTGACTTGTTATTAGGGTCCTCGGTTGTAGAGTGAGTCAGTACATATGTATTAAAGTGGTGATTGCTTGACTTGTTATTAGGATCCTCGGTTGCAGAGTGAGTCGGTACATATGTATGTAAGTGGTGATTGCTTGGCTTGTTATTAGGGTCCTCGGTTGTAGAGTGAGTCAGTACATATGTATTTAAGTGGTGAATGCTTTGCTTGCTATTTAGGTCCTCGGTTGCAGAGTGAGTCAGTACATATGTGTTTAAGGGGTGATTGCTTGGCTTGTTATTAGGCTCCTCGGTTGCAGAATGAATCAGTACATATGTATTTAAGTGGTGATTGCTTGACTTGTTATTAGGGTCCTCGGTTGCAGAGTGAGTCAGTACATATGTGTTTAAGTGGTGATTGCTTGGCTTGTTATTAGGGTCCTCGGTTGCCGAGTGAATCAGTACATATGTATGTAAGTGGTGATTGCTTGGCTTGTTACTAGGGTCCTCGGTTGTAGAGTGAGTCAGTACATATGTATTTAAGTGGTGAATGCTTTGCTTGCTATTTAGGTCCTCGGTTGCAGAGTGAGTCAGTACATATGTATTTAAGTGGTGATTGCTTGACTTGTTATTAAGGTCCCCGGTTGCAGAGTGAGTCAGTACATATGTGTTTAATTGCTGATTGCTTGGATTGTTATTAGGGTCCTCGGTTGAAGAGTGAGTCAGTACATATGTGTTTTAGTGGTGATTGCTTGACTTGTTATTAGGAACCTCGATTGCAGAGTGAGTCAGTACATATGTGTTTAAGTGGTGATTGCTTGGATTTTTATTAGGGTCCGGGGTTGAAGAGGGAGTCAGTACATATGTGTTTAAGTGGTGATTGCTTGGATTTTTATTAGGGTCCGGGGTTGAAGAGGGAGTCAGTACATATGTGTTTAAGTGGTGATTGCTTGACTTGTTATTATGGTCCTCGGTTGCAGAGTGAGTCAGTACATATGTATTTAAGTGGTGATTGCTAGACTTGTTATTAGGATCCTCGGTTGAAGAGTGAGTCAGTACATATGTGTTTAAAGGGTGATTGCTTGGATTGTTATTAGGGTCCTCGGTTGCAGAGTGAGTCAGTACATATGTATATAAGTGGTTATTGCTTGACTTGTTATTAAGGTCCTCGGTTGCAGAGTGAGTCAGTACATATGTATTTAAGTGGTGATTGCTTTGCTTGCTATTTAGGTCCTCGGTTGCAGAGTGAGTCAGTACATATGTGTTTAAGGGGTGATTGCTTGGCTTGTTATTAGGGTCCTCGGTTGCAGAGTGAATCAGTACATATGTTTTTAAGTGGTGATTGTTTGACTTGTTATTAGGGTCCTCGGTTACAGAGTGAGTCAGTACATATGTGTTTAAGTGGTGATTGGTTGGATTGTTATTAGGGTCCTCGGTTAAAGAGGGAGTCAGTACATATGTGTTTAAGTGGTGATTGCTTGGATTGTTATTAGGGTCCTCGGTTGAATAGGGAGTCAGTTCATATGTGTTTAAGTGGTGATTGTTTGACTTGTTATTAGGGTCCTCGGTTGGAGAGTGAGTCAGTACATATGTATTTAAGTGGTGATTGCTTGACTTGTTATTAAGGTCCTCGGTTGCAGAGTGAGTCAGTTCATATGTATTTAAGTGGTGATTGCTTGACTTGTTATTAGGGTCCTCGGTTGTAGAGTGAGTCAGTACATATGTATTAAAGTGGTGATTGCTTGGCTTGTTATTAGGGTCCTCGGTTGCAGAGTGAGTCAGTACATATGTATGTAAGTGGTGATTGCTTGGCTTGTTATTATGTTCCTCGGTTGTAGAGTGAGTCAGTACATATGTATTTAAGTGGTGATTGCTTGACTTGTTATTAAGGTCCTCGGTTGCAGAGTGAGTCGGTACATATGTATGTAAGTGGTGATTGCTTGGCTTGTTATTAGGGTCCTCGGTTGCAGAGTGAGTCAGTACATATGTATTTAAGTGGTGATTGCTTTGCTTGCTATTTAGGTCCTCGGTTGCAGAGTGAGTCAGTACATATGTGTTTAAGGGGTGATTGCTTGGCTTGTTATTAGGGTCCTCGGTTGCAGAGTGAATCAGTACATATGTGTTTAAGTGGTGATTGTTTGACTTGTTATTAGGGTCCTCGGTTACAGAGTGAGTCAGTACATATGTGTTTAAGTGGTGATTGCTTGGATTGTTATTAGGGTCCTCGGTTAAAGAGGGAGTCAGTACATATGTGTTTAAGTGGTGATTGCTTGGATTGTTATTAGGGTCCTCGGTTGAATAGGGAGTCAGTTCATATGTGTTTAAGTGGTGATTGTTTGACTTGTTATTAGGGTCCTCGGTTGGAGAGTGAGTCAGTACATATGTATTTAAGTGGTGATTGCTTGACTTGTTATTAAGGTCCTCGGTTGCAGAGTGAGTCAGTTCATATGTATTTAAGTGGTGATTGCTTGGCTTGTTATTAGGGTCCTCGGTTGTAGAGTGAGTCAGTACATATGTATTTAAGTGGTGATTGCTTGACTTGTTATTAAGGTCCTCGGTTGCAGAGTGAGTCGGTACATATGTATATAAGTGGTTATTGCTTGACTTGTTATTAAGGTCCTCGGTTGCAGAGTGAGTCAGTACATATGTATTTAAGTGGTGATTGCTTTGCTTGCTATTTAGGTCCTCGGTTGCAGAGTGAGTCAGTACATATGTGTTTAAGGGGTGATTGCTTGGCTTGTTATTAGGGTCCTCGGTTGCAGAGTGAATCAGTACATATGTTTTTAAGTGGTGATTGTTTGACTTGTTATTAGGGTCCTCGGTTACAGAGTGAGTCAGTACATATGTGTTTAAGTGGTGATTGCTTGGATTGTTATTAGGGTCCTCGGTTAAAGAGGGAGTCAGTACATATGTGTTTAAGTGGTGATTGCTTGGATTGTTATTAGGGTCCTCGGTTGAATAGGGAGTCAGTTCATATGTGTTTAAGTGGTGATTGTTTGACTTGTTATTAGGGTCCTCGGTTGGAGAGTGAGTCAGTACATATGTATTTAAGTGGTGATTGCTTGACTTGTTATTAAGTTCCTCGGTTGCAGAGTGAGTCAGTTCATATGTATTTAAGTGGTGATTGCTTGACTTGTTATTAGGGTCCTCGGTTGTAGAGTGAGTCAGTACATATGTTTTAAAGTGGTGATTGCTTGGCTTGTTATTAGGGTCCTCGGTTGCAGAGTGAGTCAGTACATATGTATGTAAGTGGTGATTGCTTGGCTTGTTATTATGGTCCTCGGTTGTAGAGTGAGTCAGTACATATGTATTTAAGTGGTGATTGCTTGACTTGTTATTAAGGTCCTCGGTTGCAGAGTGAGTCGGTACATATGTATGTAAGTGGTGATTGCTTGGCTTGTTATTAGGGTCCTCGGTTGCAGAGTGAGTCAGTACATATGTGTTTAAGTGGTGATTGCTTGGCTTGTTATTAGGGTCCTCGGTTGCAGAGTGAATCAGTACATATGTATGTAAGTGGTGATTGCTTGGCTTGTTATTATGGTCCTCGGTTGTAGAGTGAGTCAGTACATATGTATTTAAGTGGTGATTGCTTGACTTGTTATTAGGGTCCTCGGTTGCAGAGTGAGTCAGTACATATGTATTTAAGTGGTGATTGCATGGATTGTTATTAGGGTCCTCGGTTAAAGAGGGAGTCAGTACATATGTGTTTAAGTGGTGATTGCTTGGATTGTTATTATGGTCCTCGGTTGAATAGGAAGTCAGTACATATGTGTTTAAGTGGTGATTGTTGACTTGTTATTAGGGTCCTCGGTTGCAGAGTGAGTCAGTTCATATGTATTTAAGTGGTGATTGCTTGACTTGTTATTAAGGTCCTCGGTTGCAGAGTGAGTCGGTACATATGTATGTAAGTGGTGATTGCTTGGCTTGTTATTAGGGTCCTCGGTTGCAGAGTGAGTCAGTACATATGTGTTTAAGTGGTGATTGCTTGGCTTGTTATTAGGGTCCTCGGTTGCAGAGTGAATCAGTACATATGTATGTAAGTGGTGATTGCTTGGCTTGTTATTATGGTCCTCGGTTGTAGAGTGAGTCAGTACATATGTATTTAAGTGGTGATTGCTTTGCTTGCTATTTAGGTCCTCGGTTGCAGAGTGAGTCAGTACATATGTGTTTAAGGGGTGATTGCTTGGCTTGTTTTTAGGCTTCTCGGTTGCAGAATGAATCAGTACATATGTATTTAAGTGGTGATTGCTTGACTTGTTATTAGGGTCCTCGGTTGCAGAGTGAGTCAGTACATATGTGTTTAAGTGGTGATTGATTGGCTTGTTATTAGGCTCCTCGGTTGCAGAGTGAATCAGTACATATGTATTTAAGTGGTGATTGCTTGACTTGTTATTAGGGTCCTCGGTTGCAGAGTGAGTCAGTACATATGTATTTAAGTGGTGATTGCATGGATTGTTATTAGGGTCCTCGGTTAAAGAGGGAGTCAGTACATATGTGTTTAAGTGGTGATTGCTTGGATTGTTATTATGGTCCTCGGTTGAATAGGAAGTCAGTACATATGTGTTTAAGTGGTGATTGTTGACTTGTTATTAGGGTCCTCGGTTGCAGAGTGAGTCAGTTCATATGTATTTAAGTAGTGATTGCTTGACTTGTTATTAGGGTCCTCGGTTGTAGAGTGAGTCAGTACATATGTATTAAAGTGGTGATTGCTTGACTTGTTATTAGGATCCTCGGTTGCAGAGTGAGTCGGTACATATGTATGTAAGTGGTGATTGCTTGGCTTGTTATTAGGGTCCTCAGTTGCAGAGTGAGTCAGTACATATGTGTTTAAGTGGTGATTGCTCTGCTTGTTATTAGGGTCCTCGGTTGCAGAGTGAAGCAGTACATATGTATGTAATTGGTGATTGCTTGGCTTATTATTAGGGTCCTCGGTTGTAGAGTGAGTCAGTACATATGTATGTAAGTGGTGATTGCTTGACTTGTTATTAGGGTCCTCGGTTGCAGAGTGAGTCGGTACATATGTGTTTCAGGTGGTATGAGGGTCTTTAGTTGTAGAGGGATCTAAAACGTTTATCTTCAGTGATCACTTGACTGTCAAAACAGAGGGTAAGTTGTAGAAAGGTGCGTTCGACTCCGATGTTGTGGCAATGTGCGTTCGACTCCGATGCCGTGGTAATGTGCGTTCGACTTTGATCTTAATTGACTAGGATTGCATGTTTTCCTGCCGAAGGTCGGTGGATATCTCCGAGTCGTCATGCCTCCTCGGCTCCTTCATAAAAACTGGTCGTCATGATATAGCAAAGTGTGCTGAAAGTGGAGTAAAACACCAAAATTCAATCAATCAGTCAATCGACTTGTTACTGTGATTCCAATATGATTTAAAACATGATTTTTAAATGTGGAAAGAGTTTTGTTAATAAGGTCAAACAGATCCTTCATGACGGCAGATTTAAACATCACATCTATCTGGTCTCTGAAAAAGCAGGAACCTCCGTAAACAGTGACAATTAATACTTTATCTCCATTTTTACAGTGCAGAATTAGATGACCCGGATTTTGTTAGATTTATGAAAATTGACAAGGATTTTACAGAAATTATAGGAAAGGGTTTCGTGGAAGATATGTTTCCGATTATGTACAAAATCTGTCCTACTAAGAAATACAGAACAGTCAAAGAAATTTTCGGCGAAATGATAGCTATGATAGAAGGGAAATTCAGAGAACATGAAGAAACGTTTGATTGTGGTGAGTTTATTTAGAAGGTCTACTATATATATATTTGTGTTATGTATTACTGAAACTCATTTACATTTTATTGTTGAAAAGCTTATAGATGGAGCTTCATTTATGGCAAATCCAGACTTTTTACCGGTTCCCCTACAAAATTCGTCTAGTTTGGAGACCCACCCCCTTTCAAAATTCTAGATCCGCATCTGATTAATAGTAATACATTGGGTATGCTAAAACATGCTTTTGAATAACAAGCACAAATCTAGTACATGTAACAACACATTAACTGAAATAGTAATAACAAAGGAATTCGGCGGGCAGTTTCCCTAAGTGTATATGCAAATATTTTAAATATGATACATACTTTACGGAGGGCATCAAATCGACAATATATTTGTCTTTGAACTGAATCAACAGATGTATTTTGAGCCTGACACAGACAACATATATATTATCCATATTCATTGCAACTAAATATGCATCACATGGAATAGATTTACTCTATAAATTTAAAAGAATATTTATTTCAGACAATATAAGAGATTTTACCGATTCGTTAATTCTGGCGAGAAATGAAGCGGAACAAGATGAAGAAATGATGTCCCAATTAACAGACACACATCTGAGACAAACTTTAGTAGATATTTTTCGTGGTGAGTTGCCGATTCCAACCAGAAAGAGGTTTTAGAGAAAAGGTTTTTTATGATAATCACTATACTGTGTTATTTAAGGAATGACTGTAATATTTTTTCTGTCTATGAAGAAATAACATCAAAAATGTGGTGCACACTGAATAACCCGCGTAGCGCGTTATTTTAAAGTGTGCACCACATTTTTTATGTTATTTCGAATAGACAGAAAAAATATTACAGTCATTTCTTATAATTTAATTCTAAATTCCATTTTAAACCGGAGTAAACCATGAAAAAACGTTGATGACGTCACGGTCACATGACAAAATTATGTCTATGAGCTGATAAACAAAACAACGTCAGCCAATCAGAAGACGCGTTACATCCAAAATTAAATTATATTTTCATGAATCTTAGAGCATCAAGTTCATTGATTACTTGGAATTCCACAATCGAATATTTACGCGACTTTGGTTTTGCAATCATGGCAAAGTTAACTTGAAAGAGCTAATCGCGAAAAATAAGTTTTCTGGTTTTCAGTGGAGCAGAATGGTGATTTGATATACCGTAACCGTCTACACAATTTAATCATGTTAAAAGATAAATTCCAACTGTGAATGTCTAGCTAGGAAACTCAATATTGAGTACAACTCAATCCAGCATATAATAAGACTCAGATGCTCCGGAAGAGTAAGCAGTTTTTCATCCACATTTACATTATCAGTTCAGACCTTGCAAAAGTTCAGTGTTTTGTATTATCAGTTCATTTTGCTCAATGGTACATTCATCATGTGAGCAAACAAGGTCAGTAAAGGAATTTAAATCGTATATGATTATTACCGTGCGTACATCGCTCGTTTCTGGAATAACCATCGTCAGTTACGCTCTACGCTTAAAAGTTCGGAAGTCATGGTCAGCAATAAATCAAACAGATCTAAACAGAACAGATATTAAAACATCTGAGGTAAACTATGTCAATGAGGGATTGTAGCCTTAGCTTTTGCAGATTTATATAATTTTATGAAATGGACAAAACAAACCAAAAGAGATACAATATCTACTTAAAAAGTATTAGGGATTATAAATTATGCAATGTGTTTTGGGGAAAATTGTGGGTTTGCACGTGGTTGGGCTGTTTAATGTGGTTCGTGCAAGTGTATCTCTGGGTAACAAAATAACGCCATTGGTACGTATTGATAAATCTTATAAAATAGAGTAACAAAACGAAAATTCGTATTCATGCGTTATGGAGAAGGTGTTATTGTGTTTTTAACACTAAAACTATAGCTGTCGAACTTTCCTTAGTACCTCTACATTATTTGTTTGGATTTATAATTACATGTTACTTTACTTAGGTGGCATTGACACGTCGAGAGTTTCTTTGTATTTTGTTGTACGGTTCATGGCTGGGTTACCTGATATCCAGCGTCAAGTTCAGAACGAAATAGACAACGTTGTTGGTGAGCAACCCTATTAATTTTTAATTTAATGCATAAAGCTTTTGTTAATTTCTAAGGGTGGTTGTCCATTTTGAAACCAATGATTATCGCATATTACAATTTTGTTCTCGTAAAGACGATATAGAGAGAAACTGTAAAAAGCAAATAATATATAGAAATAGCTCAATATTGCCGAAATTGTCGGTTCATTTTTTCTAATAGGATGAATTGCCTTAAAATGACGATGTTTACCATTTTGTTTGTGTTTTGGGCAAACACTACAGTATATTGAGAGAAACACAAAATAAGATGATCAAAAGGGAAAAGATTTAAGTCATGAAATATATGCACTCTGTCATGTTCGAGAGTGTCCATTTTTGGAGATACACATTGATCCAGGTGAGCGACACATGCTCTTAAGATCTTACAGTTTCTAGTCTGAACTCGCACAGCGGGTTATGAATGCAAAGCAGGAGGCGCTTACCATGTCGACATAACAAGATGAAAACATGTCACTCATGCTTTGAGACACATACACATCTCCATGAGCTTAACCTTGTTTTTTCAACAGGAAAAGATAGATTACCCGGAATTAAAGATAGAGAAAGTCTCAGTTACACGGAAGCAACCTTGCATGAAGCCATGAGACTTGGCACAGTTTCTGCCTTTGGTTTACCTCACTGTACCTTATGTGATACACAAGTGGGTTAGTATCTTTCCTTGTACCGTATGTGATACACAAGTGGGTTGGTATCTTTCCTTGTACCGTATATGTGATACACGGATGGGTTTGTATCTTTCTTTGTACCGTATGTGATACACAAGTGGTTTTGTATCTTTCCTTGTACCGAATGAGATACACGGATGGGTTGATATCTTCCCTTGTACTGTATGTGATACACAAGTGGGTTTGTAACTTTCCTTGTACCATATGAGATACACGGGTGGGTTGGTATCTTTCCTTGTACCGTATATTTGATACACGGGTGGGTTTGTATCTTTCCTTGTACCGTATGTGATACACAAGTGGGTTTGTATCTTTCCTTGTAACGTATGAGATACACGGGTGCGTTTGTATCTTTCCTTGTACCGTATATGTGATACACGGGTGCGTTTGTATCTTTCCTTGTACCGTATGTGATACACAAGTGGGTTTGTATCTTTCCTTGTACCGTATGAGATACACGGGTGCGTTGGTTTATTTTCTTGTACCGTATATGTGATACACGGGTGGGTTTGTATCGTTACTTGTACCGTATGTGATACACAAGTGGATTGGTATCTTTCCTCGTACCTTATGTGATACACAAGTGGGTTGGTATCTTTATTTTTATAATGAATTTCTTTTTATTTGCACATGAACATAATAGTAAGTTATACACATTGTATGCACAATAATTATAATATATAAACAGAAAATATACAACATATTAAATAGACACAGCTGAAATAGTTTGGTACATTGCAGAATATGAATGCAAGACAAAGGCTGCTTGGATAGAGAATAGTTTTTTACATACAATATATATGGTGTCTGTTGTTTATCTTTATTTTTATGACAATAAAGGAGCCCAGGGGTAATTTTCCTTGTACCGTATGTGATACACAAGTGGGTTTTTATCTTTCCTTGTACCGTAGGTGATACACTATTGGGTTGATATATTTCCTTGTACCGTATGTAATACACAAGTCGGTTGATATCTTTCCTTGTACCGTATGTGATACACAAGTCTGTTGGTATCTTTTCTTGTACCATTTGTGATACACAAGGGTTTTGGTATCTTTCCCTGTACCATATGTGATGCACAAGTGAGTTGAAATATTTCCTTGTACCGTATGTGATACACAAGTGGGCATTTATATTTCCTTTTTCTGTATGGGATACCCGCGTGAGTTGGTATCTTTCCTTTTACCGTATGTCATACAAATTAGGTTGGTATTTCACTGTTCCATATTTGATGCACATATAGGTTTTATCTTTCACTGTTCCATATGTGTTATACATATAGGTTGGTATCTTTCACTGTACCGTATATGGTATACATATAGGTTGGTATATCTTACTGTACCATATGTGTCTACATAATGGTTGCTCTCTTTCACTGAATAAATGTTGATTGGAAAACCACAGACCCATATTTTTTTAAACCGCTGAAGTGGATTTGGCGATAACTTTTAATATTTCTGATAAAATAGATTGGAAAAAACGGATATCTGTGAACATGTTGGAAATAAATATTTTTTTAAAAATATTATAATTAAATAACTCAATTCTTCCATATTTTTTGTTTACTGAGGTAAAACGAAATTTGATGGTCCTTCATTTACTTCTTTAAATGTTTCGTAATTGCAATATTTTGTTCATTTCTACATCGTATATTTCATCTAAGGTTATATTCAAAATACACGAATAATTTATCACAGTAAAGGGGCACTCAAACTAGTCAAAAATAGAAATCAAAATAGATCGGACATAAGGGTATATCCTTTTCTTGTAGGAAAATATTCATCGCAAAAAACTGTAAAGACAAAATATAGTCCTCCTCTAACAGGGAACTTCCTGCAGTTAAACGGTTTCTCCAAAAGAAAGAAATAATTAAGAATGTTAGAACAGATTTGTACAACTCTAAGAACAACTCATAAGAAACTACTGTTACAATTTTTCATAAAAATAAACGTAAAACATCAAACCAGTTGTCTTAAGGAATCCTAAGTTTAAAAAAACTATAGATTTAATAAAATACATTTTAGACAAATCATTGAAAATTAATTTGATTTACGCAATTGAACTTTTGTCCGCCTTTAAACATCAGCGACAAATACATGTATCACACGAGTTGCGTGATATTAAATCGTTGAAAATGACAGATGCAAATAGTAGAAAAAATAGGAACAATTTATTATTGTACCATAATTAATTGTTATTAAATAAATGTAGAAGGAACCATTAAAAAGTATAGGAGGAAAAGGGCTCTTTATTAAAATTCTAAACTTTTTGATACAAGGATGAAAAGTAAAATATGCAAAATGTTCCAACTTTAGATTGCTGAATATGATTTATTCTCGTGTTTTAGCAAAAAGTATTGAATATTATTTCATATCTAATGGTATGAGACATCCAGTCTCTAAGGTCAGAATAAAAACAAACTATTTCCCTAAACCGAATTTGACGTAACGTTCATTGATAACGACACAAAGACATTATACCTCCGTAAGCCTGGGAATGTCATGGCAGGTTACATATAGGTTGGTTTCGTTTACTTTACCGTATGTGGTATACATACAGGTTGGTATCTTCCACTGTACTGTATGTGGTACACATTAAGGTTGGTTTCGTTTACTGAACCGTATGTGGTATGCATATACGTCGGTATCTTTCACTGTACTGTATCTGGTACACAATAAGGTTGTTTTCGTTCACTGTACCGTATATGGTTTACATACAGGTTGGTGTCTTTCACTGTACTGTATGTGTTATACATACAAGTTGGTATCTTTCACTGTACCATATGTGTTATACATACAGGTTGGTGTCTTTCACTGTACCATATGTGTTAAACCTATAGATTGGTATCTTTCACTGTACCATATGTGTTATACATACAGGTTGGTGTCTTTCACTGTACCATTTGTGTTATAGATACAGGTTGATATATTTCACTGTATTATATGTGTTATACATACAGGTTGGTATATTTCACTGTACAATATGTGTTATACATACAGGTTGGTGTCTTTCACTGTACTGTATGTGTTATACATACAAGTTGGTATCTTTCACTGTACCATATGTGTTATACATACAGGTTGGTGTCTTTCACTGTACCATTTGCCTTATACATACAGGTTGGTATATTTCACTGTACTGTATGTGTTATACATACAGGTTGGTGTCTTTCACTGTACTGTATGTGTTATACATACAAGTTGGTATCTTTCACTGTACCATATATGTTATACATACAAGTTGGTATCTTTCACTGTACCATTTGTGTTATACATACAGGTTGGTATCTTCCACTGTACCATTTGTGTTATACATACATGTTGGTATATTTCACTGTACAATATGTGTTATACATACAGGCTGGTGTCTTTCACTGTATTATATGTGTTATACATATAGGTTGGTGTCTTTCACTGTACTATATGTGTTATACATACAGGTTGGTGTCTTTCACTGTATTATATGTGTTATACATATAGGTTGGTGTCTTACACTGTACAATATGTGTTATACATACAGGTTGGTATCTTTCACTGTACCATATGTGTTATACATACAGGTTGGTATCTTTCACTGTACCATATGTGTTATACATACAGGTTGGTGTCTTTCACTGTACTATATGTGTTATACATACAGATTGGTATCTTTCACTGTACTATATGTGTTATGCATACAGATTGGTATCTTTCACTGTACCATATGTGTTAAACATATAGATTAGTATCTTCACTGTACTATATGTGGTACAAATTTAGGTTGGTTTCGTTTACCAGTTTGGTTTCGTTATGCAGTACGCATATAGTGTGGCATCTTTCATTGTAATTTATGTATACACTAGTAGATTGGTTTCTTCTACTGTACCGTTTGTAATAAAGAAGTGGTTTAGTATCTTTTACTGTACCATTTGTAATACACGAGTGGGTTGGTATCTTTCATTCATACCGTATTGCACGAGTGTGTTGATATCTTTCACTGTACAATATGTAATACATGAATGGGCTAGTATCGTTAGTATAAATTTAATGTACTAGATAGAATTTTGTCGAGTTTCGTATTTCTCAAAGTTGTGTGATTAGTGTGTTGACTGTGAGAATTCCGTCCGTTTGTATATATCCGTACCCTTACCTCGTTGCTTTATAATAGAATAGAGAATAATGGGCAAAAGGTATAAAGAATAGAAAAAACGGGACCAAAAAATAATGAATAGAGAATAATGGGCAAAAAGTATAAAGAATAGAGAAAAACGGCAATAAAAAAATAAAGAATACAGAAATGAAGGACCCCATCCAGACCATCATAAATGTCATGTGCATGTAATGTCACTCTGTGTTCTGATCACTCCAATACTAGAAACATAGAATACCCTCTCATCTTTATCATAAATATTGAGTAAGTTGTGAAAGAAAAAAAAAACGCTACGAAGTTTTGGCCTCTGAACACTCTCATCAAGCGATTTCTCTGCGGATTGAATTATATCAAATTCGTTCTTAAAAGCGTTTCTTTGCACCTATATAGAGTATCTCCCAAATGCTATTTATAAACGGATGTTAGTGAATATAACGAAAGCTAGTTGCACTCTCTCTGCCAAAGCTGATCTTTGGCGGTATTTTGGATCCATTTAGGCCCTTTTGGTGTTGTTTCTCACACGCGTTTTAAGTATTTTGTTTCCCCTAGTTTTGGCTTTAAGGACACATTAAAGTTACTTTCCAAAATCAGAAAGTTGAATCATAATGTCATAATACTACTACTGATTCGCTACTACTGCGAGGGGACTGTGACGTTTTCGAGGAAATCATCCAACTAGAATCAATAATTTTAAATCGGTATTATTTAAATGATATGCGTTTGTTAATTTTCAAATATTAAACTTAAATCTTTGAATGTAACTCACTCGGGCAAATATATACTCGTGTTTTGAATCGTGTTGAACACATTTATCTCATCGAACTTGAAAAAAGTATACTGCAGAAACATTAAAAAAAAAGTATAACAAAAATACCGAACTCAAAGGCAAATTTTAAACGGGGAAGTCCATAAAAACTGACAAAATCAAACATTATCAATCAACGGAACAAATGAAAAACAACTGTCATATTCCTGACTTAGTACAGGCGTTTTCCGAACAAAAATGGTGGGTTAAACCTGGTTTTATAGCTAGCTAAACCTCCCACTTGTATGACAGTTTTGTCTTGTTTATAGTTCCGTTATATTGACAAAATTGGGTGAGCAATCAAACAGACATAAAAGGTTAATGTAACAATAACTGTGATTCAGCAGCCAAATCTGTGTAAACATACATCACAGGAATCCAAAACAACTGACTAAAAAATTCAAACAAAAAAAATTATATCATATCTTGCCATACATCTAAAATTGACACTAAGGGTCGGTTGAGAACAAAACTTTCCGACAAAAAGGATGATTTCAGCTTCCCATTTTTATACTTCCCATTTCTATGTAACAACATTCCAGCAGCGCCTGTATATGGAGTATATATCTTCCAGTTGTTGAGATATTCCAGAGCTTGCGTTTCCTATCATAATTTCCTTGATAGAGAGTTGCTGCGTACAAGGAAGCCAAGGGTTCAAAAATGTGGTAAAAATGTAGTCATCCCTCCGAAAGTTTTACGGACCGTTATTGTATATCTGTGTCACCGAATACCACAGATTTACCACAATCCCGTCCTCTTTTCCTCGATTGTGGCCCGAATGAGACGTACCACTGGATGTGTACTTACGATAAACAACATGACGGGTGTCACTAGTGGAGCAGGATCTGGCCATCCTTCCGGATCACCTTAGATCACCACAAGTAGTCGGCGAGGTTCATATTTTTCAGTCTTTAGTTTTCTTTCTAGTGTTGTATGTACTTGTTTGTCTCGTTTTTTTTTTGTCATGGCATTGTCAGCTTTCCGTAGACTTGTGAGTTTTGAATGTCTCCTTGGTATCTTCCACCTCTTTTTTTATTGATGTTCTGAACTTAGGGTTGGGGGTCATGAACTTTGTGTATTTGACTTACAAACGCTTGGTCTATGTCGTACCAGATAAATGTTATCCAGAAACACATAAAATCGTTGTACACATTGTAAGATTTGTAAAGACGCTGATATGACATGATTAAAAAAAAACATCAAAAGAATTAATAAAATCTCGGCAAATATAGATCTTGTTCTTGTTCAAATTAATCTTTTTCAGGAGGTTATGATGTTCCAAAGGATACAATGGTTATGATCAATCACTGGGCCCTTCACCATGATCCTAAATATTGGAAAGACGTGGAGAAATTTGATCCAACACGCTATCTCGACGAAAATGGAAAACTTGGTATGAAACCAGAAAGCTGGTTGCCATTCTCTGCAGGGAGACGTGTGTGTCTAGGAGAAGCTGTTGCTAAACCAGAACTTCATTTGATTTTTGCAATGATTATGCAAAGATTCGAGATAACCATGCCAGATGGAACGAATCCTGAATTAAAGCTTAGTGGATCTGGTGTGATTCCACAACCAGCTCCTTTCAAAATCATTGTGAAAGACAGAAAAATTACATGATTTCGTTGAATTGTATTTCTAGTGAGGTAGATAAACAAAAATCAAAATGTGTTTCTATAATAGGAGATTTTACGGAATTCCCCTTTCCGCGCGTGCGCAATGAACTGGCCGTCAAAAAGTTTGTTGGTAAACAGAAGACAGCAGACTTCCGTTCCAGTCATAAGGCGCTGAACGGAAACGGCCAATTGACGGCCAGACTTCCCCGGATTTAAAAATAGAACCGAGATGACTTCATCGATAAAATCTTCTTATATCATGTCTTTTATCACAATTGTGTGGCAATCTCTTTCTTTTTTTGACATTCAGTTAAGATTACTTTACTGTCAGGCAAAACATATCATTGTCCTTTTTGTTTTCATTCGTCATTAATATGAATATATAATACTTTTCAACTATGTAAACTCAAATTTAAGACTGCAAATTGTAATCATTATTTAAAAACATTTAAAAGAAAGCGGAAGATACCTAATGGATATTCAAACTCATAAGTTGATTACAAAGCTGTTTCCTGAAAATGATACTTTATCATGTGCTTCTGTTTATATAAAGCTGATAGGATCTTGCATACTGCGAAAGAGAGGTCCATATTAACCACTTAAAATACTAAATGAATAGTATTTTAGTATATGTTTTTTCATTTGATATATATAATTTTTTGTATTGCTTGATCCTTCAGTATTTTCTATTGTGCAATAAAATTCGCTTTATTGAACTAATTAGAATGACTTTTTAAATTCATAACCCATATATATACACGTAAATAGCAAAAGAAATGAAATGGTTCTTTCATTGCTGTTCTTTGTCTAAAATTCACACGGATTCCTTAATTACGGAACAAAATGTTTTGGAGAACATGATTTATTTATTAGTTGTTATTGACTTTGAAGTAACTTTCAGTAATTAACTGCGAGTACTCCTAGATCGGTATTTTGTGTCTTCTTTTTTATGTTAATTGTTTTTGTGCTCCGCGCCGTTATGACGAGTCGAGACATTTCAAACTGATTTTTGTCGAGCCTGCGACATAGTGATCCAGCGGCGGCGGCTGCGGCGTTTACTAACTACTTAAAAGCTTTATATTTTAGAAGGTGGAAGACCTGGATGCTTCATACTTTGTATATAGATGCCTTATGTTATGAATTTTCCGTTTGTCATATGTCCATTGTCCTTGACCTCATTTTCATGGTTTAGTGACTACTTGAAAAAAAAGTTAAGATTTTTTTGTAAAGGTTATTTCTCTATTATTATGAGTAATAGGATAACTATATTTAGTATGTGCGTACCTTGCAAGGTCTTTATGTCTGTCAGACATTTTTCATCTGACCTCGACTTCATTTCATGGATCAATGAATAAGGTTAAGTTTTCGTGGTCAAGTCCATATATCAGATACTATAAGCAATAGGTCTACTATATTTGGTGTATGGAATGATTGTAAGGTGTACATGTCCAACTGGCAGGTGTCATCTGACCTTGACCTCATTTTCATGGTTCAGTGGTTAAAGTTAAGTTTTTGTGTTTTGGTCTTTTTTGTTGTTGTTGCTAATACTGTATACAATAGGTCAACAATATTTGGTGTATGGAAATATTTTACGATGTACATGTCAGTCTAGTAGGTTTTATTTGACCTTGACATCATTTTCACGGTTCATTGCTCAGTGTTAAGTTTTTGTGTTTTGGTCTGTTTTTCTTAAACTATAAGCAATAGGTCAACTATATTTGGTGTATATAATGATTGTAAGGTATATATATGTCTGTCTGGCAGGTATCATCTGACCTTGACCTCATTTTCATGGTTCATTGGTCAATGTTAAATCTTCATGGTTAAGTTTGTTTCTTAGATACTATAAGCAATAGGTCAACTATATTTAATGCTTAGATTGATTGTAAGGTATACATGTCTGTCTGGCATGGTTCATCTGACCTTGATCTCATTTTTCATGGTTCATTGGTTAATGTTAAATTTTCCTGGTTAAGATTGTTTCTTAGAAACTATAAGCAATAGGTCAACTATATTTTGTGTATAGAATGATTGTAAGGTGTACGTGTATTTCCTGTTTGGTTTATCTGACCTTGGCCTCATTTTCTTGGATCATGTTAAGTTTATGTGATACTTGTAGTAAAGCTTTATGTTTAGGACTATCAACATAAAATCAATGATCAGTAAAGCAGGCGATACATATCAGCGTGTGCACTCTTGTTAAAGTTTGTTCATATGTTGTAATGTTACACCATTGTCCCGGGTAGGAGGAGGGTCGATCACTCACAAACACGTTTAACCCCTGTTTATGTGCCTGTCCTTAGTCATGCCTGTAAATAAGTGGTTGTCTGTCATATCTGTTTTTCGTATATTGTTTTGTCATAAATTATGCAGTTGTTTTTTTTTCGTTTGAATGGTTTTCCATTTTTTTTTATCATGTCGGGGCTTGTAAAGCTGACTATACGGTATGGGTTTTGCTCATTGGTGAAGGCCGTACGGTGACATATAATTGCTTATATCAACGTTATTTGAACTCTGGTGGATAGTTGTCTTATTGCAATCATACCACATCTCCTTATTTCATAAAACATGACTCACTGCAATCTTAAGTTCATGGCGAAATCGGCTAATTATCCTGTTAATTATACCCTATGCAACGAGTTGCGGAGGGTATAATGTTTTTGATCCGTAAGTCCGTCTGTCAGTCCGTCCGTCCGTCCGTCAGTCCGTCAGTCCGTCAGTCCTATTTCTTGTCATGGCAACTCCTCTCAAACCTTACAACAGAATTTCACGAAACCTTTTTAGATAATAAGGACATACTATGTAGTTGTGCATATCGACAGGAAATTACGATTCAATTTTTTTTCTAGGAGTTACGCCCCTTTGAACTTATTTACTTTAATGTACTACTGCAACAGTTTGTCATCGCAACTCCTCTCAAACCACACAACAGAATTTTATGAAACATTTTCAGATAATAAGGACATACTACGTAGATGTGCATATCGACAGGAAATTACGATTCAATTTTTTTTCCAGGAGTTACGCCCCTTTGAACTTATTTGCCCAATATACTACTGCAACCTTTTGTCATCGCAACTCCTCTCAAACCACACAACATAATTTCATGAATCCTTTTCAGATGATAACGACATACTACGTAGATGTGCATATCGACAGGAAATTACGATTCAATTATTTTTCCAGGAGTTACGCCCCTTTGAACTTATTTGCCCAATATACTACTGCAACCTTTTGTCATCGCAACTCCTCTCAAACCACACAACAGAATTTCATTAAACCTTTTCAGATGATAAGGACATACTACGTAGATGTGCATATCGACAGGAAATTACGATTCAATTTTTTTCCAGGAGTTACGCCCCTTTGAACTTATTTGCCTAATATACTACTGCAACCTTTTGTCATCGCAACTCCTCTCAAACCACACAACAGAATTTCATGAAACCTTTTCAGATAATAAGGACATACTACGTAGATGTGCATATCGACAGGAATTTCATGAAACTTTGTAGATAATAAGGACATACTACGTAGATGTGCATATCGCGGAAATTACGATTCAATTATTTTCTAGGAGTTACACCCCTTTGAACTTATTTGCTTCAATATACCTCTGCAACAGTTTGTCATCGCAACTCCTCTGAAACCACACAACAGAATTTCATGAAACTTTGTAGATAATAAGGACATACTATGTAGATGTGCATATCGACAAGTAATTATGATTCAATTTTTTTTCTAGGAGTTACGCCCCTTTGAACTTATTTGCTTCAATATACCTCTGCAACAGTTTGTCATCGCAACTCCTCTGAAACCACACAACAGAATTTCATGAAACTTTGTAGATAATAAGGACATACTATGTAGATGTGCATATCGACAGGAAATTATGATTCAATTTTTTTTACTTGTACAATTTTTTTTTCTTACAGTTATTTTATTTCTCCAGTGACAATGTGGGGACGTGGGGTATGTGAGCGCGCTCACTGTAAGGTTCTTTAATTATATAATAATATCATATCCCTCTGAAATACGAACGATGATCATAGTATACAGTTGTTGACTGGGTTTGAGTCAACAGTTGGTTTATTTGACCCTCAGGCTTTTTTTAACTGTTATGTTATATCGCCATCCTATTAACCTGAAAATATATTGCATAATAAAACCTGAAATAATACAAAACTATGTGCTTTTAAAATCAATATAGCTAGTCGAGAAACTATATATATATACCAGGGTCAAACAGGGTTTTCGATAAGACGAGTCCATGAGTCCAAACTCATATAAATCTGTTTGAACTCATCATTTTCAAGATTGTACAATTTTCTAATAGTTGAGCCAAGATCTCATCATTTTATAGCAGAAGTTTAAAAATTAGTCTTAACCTGGAGTAATTTTCTTACTGTTTTATTGTCATGGAGACTAAAATGATAAATTGTGGCTATAATTTATTTTCTTCTAACTGCTTGACTCACCATGACCAAAAATTGTGAGACCGTAACTAAAGTCCTTAGTGAGAACTCGTGAGAATACAGGAACATCAAGTTTATATCACGATATCAAATGATTCTTATTCTTCAAGTTAACTAAGAAACTTACCAAAAGACAGCAACAGGAAAACAAATAATTGTTTTAAAAAAATCTTTTGTCAGTTACGATGCTTTTTGGGGGTCAATATTGATGACGTTTCTGACCTCCAGTCCACTTACTTAATCTTTGCTAAAGCAATTCGTTTTGTAGAGCAAATATAAAGTACATGGAAAGAATAATAAAACAATTAAGAAGATGTGGTACGATTGCCAATGAGAAAACTCGACACCAGAGACCAAATGACATAGAAGTTGTAAAACAGATGTTAAATATCGACTTTAAATCCTAGTCCCAATTTGTGACCCCGGTCAATCATAAAATAGATGGCAAATATTTACATACACTATATACACTACATAAATCAATAAATGTTTCTTTAAATTTGTCAGACTCGAGTGTGAGGCCTTGAAAACAGACAATACACATAAAAGTGCAATATTTGTTGGGATTGTATAGTAAAATATCTGGTGCAATTCAACTTTCAAACGGATGAATATCTACATACAAGCGTACAGTTTAAACTCTTTTTAATGAACAAGGTAAGATCTTTCTTGAAGTTGGAAGTACATTGAATCGTCTGAGCGAATCGAGAGCAAGATAAAGACAAAAGGATAAGTGGCATTAAAAGCGCTGTTCCTCTTTTTTATGTGTGTTTTTTGCTGTACATGTACTGATTTTGTGTCATGTATGGATACCCCATATCCTTTGTTTTTCTATTGTTATATATAACTAATGGAGCAACCATTTAACTTCAAACTGACATTTTTTTGTCATTTGCTTTACCAAAATATTTTTTTTCATCAATTTGGGGATTAGAATTTTAGGGAAAAAACATACCCCCCCCCCTCGAAGTTAAATGGTCGTTCCCTAACATAAACAGTAACAATTTACTACACCAGAGTACAACATGTACAATAAAGAAACGAATGGACAATGAAATTTATGCATAAGAGTATTGATATTTACTTTTCCTGTCTTCAAAGTTGAATCAAATTACATGGTTGTTTGAATATTGTATACATATATATACGTGTATTAATATAAATTTTCAAACTGTTAACCATTTATTCAGTTCAAGGCCAGGACGCACAATACTTGAGTAAACAGATAGCTATGTACATTATGAC